ATCCAGGCCCTGTTGCCCCGAGGCTGACAGGGGACAAGCCCACAAGTGGGTCTCAGGGATGCACCCCGAGGAAGCTGGGAGGATCCTCAAGACCGGCACCGAGACCGGGCTCCTCCAATCATGGGGGTCGGGATATGCTCCAGGCTGGCGATTTCCGGGGTCTCTGGCCTGAGGCGCATGAAGGCCGTCTTCCAGTCGCCCTTCTTCACCAGCGCGTTCCACTCGGGGATCAGGTTGCCGAGGGGGCAGCCAGACCGCTGCGTCACGGACTGGTGGCAGAAGGGGGTGCCGCAGTCCATGCACCGCGCGGCCTGCGTCCGCACCGCCTGCTTGTCCTCGTGGGTGTAGATCTCCACGAAGTCCCCGGCGCGGGCCTTGATGTCGCGCTTGGCGATCTCGGCCCTGGAGAACTTCACGAAGCCGTTGTTGCCCTTGAGAGCCTCCTCCGCGTCGACCTTCGGTCGCTTGGAGAGGGTGGCGCAATCCTCGATGTCGAGGGTGGGGAACTTGAAAGTATCCTTCGCGGCCTTCCCGTTCTCCTGTACCTTGGGCGCTTCCATGGGCACGTCGACCTGCGGCAGCCAGGACCTGAACCTCTCCGAGTCGGCCTTGCCCTTGTCGCCCTTGAGCATCGCCCCCTCGTAGTCCGTCGGGAACACGCGCACGAACTCGGGCAACGACTGAGGCCACCTGGCGAGTATGTCGCCCGCGACGGCACTGCCGGTGAGCTTCGAGTGAGCCCTGAGCAGGTCCTGCAGGTCCTCCGAGTCGTGCGGGTATGCCTCGTGCCGCTCACTGGCGGCCATGCGGGACAGCTTCACCATCTCCTTGTTCACGTTCCTCTCTCGGGCTCCGGCCACCATGCACCAACACGAACCCCTGCCAGGCCCATCTGCAGGCCCCAGACTGGTGTGTAGAACTAGGTCGGGCATGTCCTCCTACAGGCGGAGTTTGGGCGAAAATGAAAAACACATGTTCAAACATACTCGAAAATAGCATGTAACAAGAATCGTCCCCAGAGCATTGTCCTGTCATTTTTGAATATTCCTCCTGTGGAAGGACAAGCCCGACTTCAGTGTAGGCCCTGGACCAAGGAGGGTCTCACCGGTCAGGGGCCTGCAGCTGTGAGGGCGAGGCCCGGAGGTGGTGGTGGTGCACGCCTGCCGGCCCCGGCCTCTCGAACTGGAACTTCGGGTCCCACACCCACGCGACGCCGCCGCTCATGCCGGCGGCGAAGTTGCTGCCGGTGATGCCGAGCACCGCCACGCGGCCACCGGTCATGTACTCGAGATTGTTTTTGCATGCGTCGGCGAGTACCCAGGTGAGCCAGAGTGCGAGGGGGGAGGGAGGTGCCAGCCGATAAGCTAGCGTGTTCTTTCCTGGGAGCCCCACGCACGCCCGGAGGCACCAATACTGTGCACCCCCTTCGGACCTGCGCGATCGACAGACACGGTCAGGTTACCTGGGGGCGGGGGGTGGCGAGCGGGCCTGACTACTAACGCGAAGAATCGTTGGACCCTTAGAACAACAGTATCCTCGCAGCGTTTTCTTTTGTGAGGAGGAGAAGGGGGAAACGACCACAGAGCTTCACCTGACCTGGCCTCGACCGCTGTGCGAAACAGGGGGTCGCAAAGCAAACCAGGAACACAACCATTGTGTTCCTGGTTGAACGAGAGCCGACCTGCGACAAGTAAACTCATGCACTGAAATGTCGCTTGAAAGAATAACGAGCGTGCCGCGTGCGAGAGGAGAAGGAGAAGCGAGGGGAAGGGAGCAATACCACATCGGCGATACATCGGCGATGCATCGACGATGCATCGGTGATGCACCAACGATGCATCGTGAACGTCGGCGATGCATTGGCGACGTCGACGTGAAGCAAATCGGATCCCACATCGAGACGCATCGCCGATGCATCGGCGATGCGGCGCAATCCTCCGACCCCATCCACTCCGACCTCATCTGGGAGGCCTAGAGAAGGAGTAGCGAGGGGAAGAGAGCAATCTCCTCGCAACAGTGGTCCCCGACACCCTCGACCACAGCCCAGGCGCCGCTGTTCCTGACCGCGAAGCGCTCCGCGCAGATGCCGCGCACGAATGCGGCTCCCTTGGTTGCGCCGTACAAGCAGACGTTGCCGACAATAACGTTCTCCTCCGACTTGAAGCCGCTCTCCATCGCCTGATTTTCCGGAGAGGAAGAAGGATAATGAAATAACGACGTCGAAAACCCCATTTGAGCAGGGACCGACCGTCGCAGCATTCCTATACCACGACATCTTCATAGAATCCAAACATTTTCCAACAAAAACAGAAAATGCTCTTAGAACATAAACCAAAACCACGACGCTTCGCCACTGCTGGATTTTTGGGGGAGGAGGAAGGATAACGGAAACACGACCTCGAACATCGAAATGATTCTGGCCCGTTTTTTGTTGTGCTGTTTGCTATGTGCGCCGGCAAAGGGCGAACAAACCCTGCCCCCCTTGCAAACAGACCGACACTGACAGAAGGAACTACCCGTGACACTTACTGCCCGGGCGAGCGGTAGCTCTTCATCGCCTTCTTGTTCGGGTAGACAACAACGACGCCGCCGCTGAGGCCCTTTGCGAAATTCGCCGCCCCCGGCTTGGGGCCACTGGGATCTGAGAATCAATGTGCGACCTCTCCTCCCCTCGGACATCGTCAGGACTGGGCTTGTCGGGACCTGGTGTGGTGATGTGCGCCGGGGAGCGCCCCCCCGCCCCACTCCACTGGCCGGAACCATCGCCACCCTGAGAAGCACCACCTGCTGCAGGCCTTGACTGCCTACCAGACCACCCCAACCCAACCCGAAAACCCGAATTTCGGGTTGGGGGGGGGTATGGGTTCCATATGCGTTTTCTCGACGTTCCCCGACCCCCCCCTTCACTGGACATGCAGGTCAATTGGAGGCCTTCGGGATGGGTTGGGGTGGTTTGGTGGGTGGTGAGTAAAACAAGGCTAGGATCGGGATAAATCGCTCCAGAGCATTCCGGAGCGCTCTCAGAGCGTTCCCGAGCCCAATACATCCTCCAAACCCGCCGATTCTGAGAGATTTCGAGTTATCCCGATCCGATTTTGTCCCGATCTTCGCGCCGTTTCAGTGGGGCCTGGCCACGTGACTCTGCTGCTCTCTGCTTGGCCTCGGGGCCCAGCCGCTGGCCGGCTCTCCTCTGTGCGCAGGGTCCTCTGGCTGCATCCGGGGCGCCCCTGTGCGCTCACCTGCGGGGTCGCCCTGCGCGCTCTGGTGGAGGGGGGCGGTGGTGTCCTGAGGGGGGGGGGTCTGGGCGTCCAGTGCTGGCAATACTGCTATCCGTATCCGCATTGTCTTGGAATGTGTGGGAAGGGGTACCGCCAGGCCGAGTGGCACAGGGTATGGATAAACATCGAGCCTCTGGGGGCCAGAGGCTTATCCACATCCAGTGCGCCTCCAGTTGCTGGGGAAGGTAGCCCAAAACTCCAAGACTCACTGGATGTGGATATTAACTATTGCCCGCATCCAGAGGAGTGCCAGCCAGAGGGTCCGACACGTGTCGGGAGGCCGCCGCCAGGGCCCCCGCGACGTCCAAGCAGGCTCCCAAGCTGCGCGAGGTGCCGCGGGCATGCCCCCAGAGACAAGCTGTTCCTGTCGCGTCGCTCTTCCGATCCTCTCTGGCTCAAGGTGGCTTCACTAGTCCCGAGGACCCAAAGCTGGAGCGAGAGTAGGCCTAAGTTCCCCATAGACAGCCCAGGAGGGCCCGACGACAGACCCAAGACGCCCAAGGAGGACCTCCAGAGGGACCGATGCGGCCCCCCAGAAGATGCTAAATCGATCCAAGAAGGTACACTGCCAAGAGTAACCCAGGGCGCCCAAAGACAACCCGCTGGGGCCCCGAGAGAAACCGGCACAGGAGGACACAAAAGAGTCCCCTCACGACCCAAGAACAGCCCCCCGAACCCCAACAGTCACTGCAAATCCTTCTTTCCTTCAATTTATCGACCTCGTCCGTTTCCAATTTCTGACACCGAAGATCCAGTGGGAGCCTGCTACCCTGGAGGCAGATTGACCTCGAACCGAATTACAGAGGGGCAAACATTGTGTGAACACCCTGCTGTGTGACACTGCTACCTAACTGCTGTATGCTACAGTGCTGCCTTTCGCCTGCTCACCCACTCGGGACGCTAAAATCGAACACCACCACCCGGCTTAGAAGCCGGATGAGGAGACGGGCAGCACAAAAGCAGCAAGTGCGACTGGGTAACAGATGCGTGTGGAACAGGTTGGCAGCGAATCGAAGCCATGACCCCATCCTAGCAAGTCAAGGAATATAGCGGAATAATGGGCGACTATGCTTCGGGCGAAAACGTGCAAACAAAACACGACGATGATTTTGACGGAAACGTGTACGGGCATCATAGCACACGATATGGTATATCTAAGTGCCGCAATGCTCTGGGTCATGCAATCTGTTTAACAGACTTCCATATACAGGTTCAAACCTCATTGACGAACACCTGGATCTCAACTGATACCGAACTCAAATCCGCGAAAAGGTGGCTTGCGATGATAACCCGGTCAGGAATTGGATGGAGCTAGACCTTCGAAGCGGGCGCCAGCTCTTGTCTTCCGTGAAGAAAATGTTGGCTCGTACCTCGCATATGCATGGGCATGCAGTCACGGCCCAAGTAGTTAGTCCCACCAGCCCTCCGGGCGCAGGTGGTCTAGAGCGTTTCCTTTTCCAGCCTCCGTCCTTTCCCTGCTCGGGAGGTTTACCTCCCCCCCCCTCCCTGGGTCTGGACGGGCTCCGCCGCGAGGGGTTAGAGCGTCCAAAATGGCCCAAGATAGCTTCAAGAGGGCTCTAGCTAGCCTGAGATGGCCTCCAAGATCGCCCAAGATACCTCAAGACCGCCCAAGCTAGCCTCCAACACGCATCCAAGAGGCCTCACGACAGGCCCAAGACGGCTTCAAGTGCCCTCCGAGCCCTCCAAGGACCCCCCAAGAGGCCAAAATGGATTCAAAACCAAGGAGGCACACTTATGTGTTTTGCCGTTTCACGGTTTCGCTTCCGATGGGCTCTTGAGGCGTCAAGATGGCCCCAGGATGGCCAAACATAGCCCCAAAAGGGGCCTAAGAGGGCCCCAAGAGCCCCCACGAGCGCCCCAAGAGTGGTCCAAGAGGACCCCAAGACGTCTCTTGTGGGCCTTCGAAAGGGGGGGAGGGGGTAAATTCAAGACCCCCCTCGTGTTGAGCGAAGGGGTCCAAGACGGCCCCAAGAGGCCTCCCAGACCCCCCAAAAAGAGCCCCAAGAGGGCCGCAAGACTCTCCAAAAGAGCCCCAAGAGAGCCTCAAGAGAGCGCCCAGAGACCCACAAGAGAGCCCCAAAAGAGCCCCACGTGGAGCCCAAGAAAGCCCGCAAGATGGTCCCAAGAGTTCCCTAAGAACCTCTCGCAAAAAAACATCAGCCAAAAATTCGACATACCATCCTTCTTGTCATCTTCCCTTCCTTCCTTCCTCCTTCCCGCTTCCCCCCTCCTCATCATCATCCTCCCCGGGCCGCATTCTTCCTCCTCCTCTTCCTCCTCCCCCCCTCCTCTTCCTTTTCCTTTCTTCCTCCGCTTCCTCCTCCTCCTCCTCCTCCTCCGCCTTTTCGTCGTCGCCCTCCTCCTCACGATGACACCACAAGCAGCACAAGCACAAGCAAGAGGACACCACAGGCAGCAACACCAGCAGCATCACCACCACCGCCACCGCCACCACCATCACCAGCAGCCGCACGCGATGTTAAGCTAAACTTCAGTGCGGGGGCAGATCTCATGGATGCAAATGGGGACGCGATTTTGAACTGTGCGACGAGAGCGACGGATGATCGAGACACTCACCTGCGCCAGAGACGCTGCTTACCAAAGGGAAAACCACTGAGTATCTTGCACTGGCTTCCATCTTAAACTTCGCTGCGGGAAGCTATGTGTGATCTGTGTTTATCATGGCACAGGGTGGGTACGGCCACCTGCGCCAGAGACGTCTACCACGGGGAGCACCAAGTCGCATCTTGCACCGATTTCCATCTTCGACTTCAATGCGGGAAGATACTTGTGATCCTTGTGTTTCTAAAACCGGCCGCGCAACTGCATAATTCCAACCGTCCCTGATTCACCAACTCCCCTGGTGATCGTTTCTGGATGGGCTGGTGGGGATACTTTTTTGATCACGACCGCACCCAAAACAGTCGGGCGGCGTCCCAGGGAGCAACTCACAGCGGCGGCCTAAATAACGCGCGGCGGGAGAGGGAAATGAAAGACAACCGGAGGGGGAAAACGGGGGGAGGAGCAACCAGGAGGCGGGCCACGCTGTCGCTCAGAAGAGGGCGCCAATGGCTGGAGGGGATTTTTTGTTCCGTCGCGGCCGCAAGCGGAAAGCGCAGGCGGCGTCCGAAGTCAGCCTGGGCTACGAGCCAGAGGGACAGCACTGAAGGGGCCCCAGACACACACACACACACACATAAATACACACAAGTAAAAGGATTCCCCATGTTTTCCTATATATTTTTGGTTTGTGTCTTCCCCCACACTTCCCATAGTTTCCAATATTTTTTGGGGAATCGACGATTCATTGTGTGTGTGCGATTCATTGTGTGTTTCCCCTCCTGACAAACCTGATTACCTAAGCGCGCGAACTGGCGGCCGCCGGAGCTGCCGCCGAGGGACCCCAGACGCCGGGGAGTGAAGGCAGCAAGAGGCCGGTGCGGATACTTTTTGTTGGTCAGCTGGCTCGCGAGGCGCGTCGAAAACCGTCCAAGCACTGGTCGGGCCGCGACTGGGCAGCAGGAGAAGCAAAAAGGCAAGCGAAGCGAGCGACAGGGCAGCCGCCCAGGAGACGAGGCAGAACCGATGCTCCCAAACCCCGTGGCGTGGAAGTCCCGGTGGCGACCAGCAAGTAAACGCAGCCAAAGTGGCGCGGCGGCGCGACCATAACCACGCAGAAGTCGAACGCTCGGTGTGACTCAGGCAAGCGCCGCCGAAGACGAGCTGGACCGGCTGGTGCGGATATATTTTTTTTATTAACAAAAAAAAAAAAAAAACAGCCGCAGGCGGAAGCGCCAGCGGCGGGAGGTCGCGAACGGGCCGCGGACGCGACTAAATTACCTAACGCGCGCGGGGCCGCGGATCAGGCGGCTCACGACAGCGTCCAGGGCGGCGGGGCCGATGCAATCCAGGAGCCAGAGACAGCCCCTGAACGGGCATGCAGCGGTGCGTCCAACGGGCCTGGGGTAGGCACCGAGGAGACCAAGCGCAGCCAAAATGGCGCGAGAGGCGTTCCCAACGTCCAGGTGCGAACGAGAGGAACGTTCCCGAGGACGTCGACCCAAGCCTGACGGGTAGGACAGACGAATGGAACCGTAATTCCAGCGGGGATCCCGACGGCGGCAACGCGCCGCGACGCCGAAACGGCATCAAAGTGTGAGCTGGTGCGGACACGCGAAGCGTCAATAATGAAAACATCTGCAACATCCCCGTGAGTTCCTAACAGCGATATGTTTGTGAAACGCCAGAACTTTGAAACTGTTTATTTTTTCGGCGACCTTACTGACGGACCGGGGTCCCACCAGTCGTGGAAAATAGTTGCTCCACGTCCACAATTACGACTGCATGTGCGACCAGTATCACGATTACAATCGCGATGAGAAAACACCAATACACACACGCAACCCCAACCGCAACCACTGATTATCTCATTCGTATTGCAATCCCCGTGTGAATACGCTAACACATCATGCCGCGCGTAGAGAAACCCACAATGGACTATTCCGTGGGATATAGGGCCCCAAAACATTATCCAGCGCGCCCGAACAGAAAAACAATATATGCCGCGAAGACGACGACGACTGCGATGACGAAAGCACTTACGACTACAGCCGCGACTACGATTACGACTGCAATCGATACTACAAATACGATTCGAATCACGCTTACAACCACGACTACAAGTACAATCGCGGATTCCTGGCGCAATCCCCCTGAGAAGGTGCTCGCGCCTTCTTCTGGCGTGTAGGGTATCCCACATCGAAATATTTCCTCGGACGTAAAAATCCCCCAGCATGATCCAACCCACCCGACTGAAGGGGGATGTCAATCTCCAACACGACGACAACGACGACGACGACTACGTGTACAACTACGCTAACGAATGCAAGCGCAACTAAAATTCAGACTACAATCGCGGCTGCAATCGCTACGACAACCACGACCACAAACATGACTACAACCGCAAGCCCTGGTCCCTTATTCCTTTTGCAATCCTCATGAAAACCTGCTGACACATTCTCTCGCGTGTATGGGGATCCCACAATAGAGTATTCGTTGGGCGACGGGTGCCCCCAACATTACCCGACCCGCCCAACAATCAACGGATCCAAATCTTCGCTGCGACGACGACGACGATGACTACGATGACGATAGCGATCGCGAGAAAAAGCAGGAGGGGGAGGACGAGGAAGAGGAGCAGGAGGGGAAAGGGGTGGACGAGAAGGAGGAGGAGGAGGAAAAGGACGGGGAGGAGAGGCGAGTTTGTTCCCCGCCGAAACAAGCAGGGGTGGACTCAACACTGAAGACCTTTTGAAGTTTCTTGAACCACTCTGATGTCCTCGCATTGCCATCGAGAAAACGCGCGCGCAGGGCCGGAGCACATGGGGGGGGCAGGTCTCCCCCCGCCCTCCCATTGGATCTACCCTGGCAAGAACCCCCTCCTTTTTTCTCTGCCCCAGGGAACCTACCCCCCCCTCCCCCTTTCTGCGCTCCGAAAGAAAAACGCCGCACCGCCTTCAAACAAGGCAGCCTGCATAAGTGCCGCACAGCATGATTCTATATCACGTTGGCGGATTACTCTCTGGCGACCGTAGAACAAAATCACGTCGCGAATCGCCTTGGCCGAGGAGGGGCTCCTCCCGTTCAAATGAAAACGCGGATCCAAAATTAACGTGGTGCCCGGGCAACGCATGACTACAATGGGACGCTCTGTTCCTCCATCTTAACTACGCGTCGTCGGCTGAAAGAGCTGTCTTTACATCCGCGAATCGAGCCTCATCTGATGCCCTGCCTCCATTGTTTGCGTTTCCTAACGACAGTGGGGGCGCCGCCCAAACACGTCCCCAACGTCGCTTCACTCAGTGCCCCCATCCTCGTAATCTGCACCGCCCTCTTCATTGCGACTGGATTTGGGCTGGCGCTTCCGGGCCCCAGTCGGACTTGGTGGAAAAAGTCCGCCACGGGGGTTCCACGGCCCGAGAAAACCCAATGGCTGCGCACGGCGAACTTTTTTTGGCTTCCTCGCCCATCCCTGAGTAACGGTTCCTTCCAGGATTCGGCTGGTGAGCTGAAAGCTGCAGTGCGTTCCCGCTGATCGCCGCCTTATGTCCTGGGGGATTGCGCATCGGCGTCTCGATCCAACGCCAGGCGATGTCCCGCTTCAACCATGTCACACGCAGACCCGAACGCCGCTTGGAGATCAAATACATGGATGGGCATGATCACCGAAGATCCTTCTTTGCTTTTTTACAAAAAGTCGAATCCCATGGTTCCTGATGACTGACCTATTTCCAGCACTGCGAAGTCCCCCCCCTTCAGAGGTTCCAAGTGGCCTTACGGCGAAGTGAATTCGCCCGTTGGGAGGTCGAGCGGCTCCACAGAAAGCCGAGCCAACCGCAACGTCGAGAATAACAAAACTTTCCTGGTCCCTTACTGGTGCTGCATTAACTCCCATGCTGGTTCCCTCCATTTCCACGACATGTAATTCGGCAGATTTCAACGTCCAGCACTCATCTTACCTGATGCATTCCGAGGTTACGCTGCCTCAGGTCGTTGCCATGGCTGCAATTAGCGACGCACTCGTGAGGCCCAAAGTTTCTCTGGATGCCTGACTTGTTTGTCTGTTCGACCCCGGGAAGTTCGTCCTCCTCTCGCTGGCCCCCGCGACTGGCCACGGCGCCTTGACGTCGCCAGGGCCAGGCAGGGTTTGGCCCTGCAACAGCGCGGGCTCTCCTCGACCCCACCCGCCCCCCCCCCCCCCCCGGGCCAGGAGCGCCCCCGTCGGCGTTCTTCGCGCGGCGGGCAGCTACGTAGCCCTTCTCGCCACGTTTGTAAGCATTCCTGGCACTGGTTGGCGCGAACTCACCTTTGCCTCCCCCTGTCCTTCTTAAGTCCTTGACCTCCTGACCTCGTCGGTCACCTCCTAGGGCGCCCACGTCTGTGGCCTTCTTTGTTTGTGGCCTCCTGGGGTGCTCTTGGTGCACTGACTTTTGTTTTGCCCCCCTGTTTGCATACCTCGGTAACCCTATGTCCGCCTCCCCTGCTTGTCGCGGTTCCTTTGGCGGCGCGCAGTCCTTGGCAATGCGCCCGCGTCATCCACGCATGTCGCCCGACTGGCATGGCGCTCTCAAGCCCGAGCCTTTTCTCCCATGGCTGTGTCTAGCTTTCGGCCCCGGGGGCCCCTTCAGGACAGCTCTTCGCTGAGATGGCCAAGGCGCGCAATCCGCGAGCGCACGCGCGACGCGCCGCTCGCTGACGAGCTGCGCGATGGGCGAGCAGCTGCGCGTGCAAACGACCATCAATCAACAATTCCCATGTACCGGATGCTCTCGCCGATCCCGATTGCTGGGTCTCTGCGCAGAGAAGGGCGGGCAAATCGCGCCCCCCCCCCCCCCCGGCCCCCCCCTGAAACGGAAGAGGTGAACAAACAAAAACAACGCCCGCCCTCAGTCTCAGCCCTGCCCCTGGGAAACGACGCAAGATACATCTCAAAACCGCGTGCGTCTACAGCGCCGGCGGATGGCGCTCTCATCGACTGCCCGCGCCGCGATGCACCTACTACTCTTGCCGAACACTACGTCTAATAAGCTGTCGCGCCTACGGAATGCCCTGCCTATGACTTGCGGGCCTAGGCCCCTTCTGCGCGTCAACTTGCACTGGGGCGCTCCCACGGGCGTTGCCACTCCGAGGCGAGGCCCCCGCTGCATCGGCGCCCTGGCTCGAGACAGGCGTCCTTTCACGAGGCTGAATGTACTCCCGCGCTCTCGCAATCGCCGCCTGGAAACAGAAACGGCACAAACAAAAAAAAGCCGCGCGCCTCTCGCCGCCAGCCCGGCACCGGGCGCGCCTCGCTGCGCGCGCGGCCCCCCTGCGACGAACCCTTGCAAAAACAGCAGGTGGGTGTTTCGAGGTTGGAGGGAGATAGAGGTAGAGGTTCAACTCGTTCCTGAGAAGATCGCGGCAAAAGTTGCCGCCCCCGCCTGCTCCAGACGTTGAAATCCAGGAGAGTGCCTTCGCCCCTGCCAGTCCTCATCCACTGCGCGTCTTTGTGCTATGAGTTCGCGAACCGATCGATGTCGTAATCTTCTATGCCGTTCATCATGAACGCGTCGTCTCCACTCGCCTCATTCGTGATGCCGTTTCCGCTCTTGTCCTCCAAATGCAAGTCCACCAATTCCCGCTTTCGTCGTAATAGCCAGAAACGCCTGCGCCAGTGCCCCATATCACCACTGCGCTTCTCGCTCATTTGGCCGATCCCCATGGAATCGCTGCGGTTTAACCGCATCGACTTCCAATATTTGCTTCCTCGCCAGATCCAGATCCTTGCAACTCGCGCAGCAGATGTTCAAGGAAGTGCCGGGACTCAACGATTCTGGCGATTTCGACTGGTCCTCTTGCCAACCGTCGAACCAATCACCCGCGCGACTCGTCAGAATCATCATATGTACGCACATCCTTTTGGCAGGGAATTTACCACAGAACTCGATTGTCTGAGTACGTCACCACATCGTTCAACTGATTGGGTCTTGATGGGCTCATGGCCAAGTTCACATTGCGGGGAAGTGTTACCCAAGGGGCAGAACCATACCGCCTGAATATCCCCTGACGGACCATCAAACCGCCGCTGTCGTGTGGACCATTAAGCCTACCCCGGGGTTCCGTACCCCCCATCTTGTCATGTATCATTTACTGGAGGTCCTCGTCAAGCTAGGCATTGTCGGCAGTATCTCACTAAAACTCCCGTTTTAAATCGTGTGTTGGCTTCTTGGTCTGCGACGCCTCGGTGTGACCACTAAATGTTAACCACCCACCCATGATCATTCTGAAATCATTTTCTTCGTCATCGTGTAACGCCCCATCTTTGTTTCCGAATGTGTTTCTCAATTTGTTCAAGGCTTTCCGATCGGCGTGCTTCACCTGGGCGAACGCATTCAACAGCGTACCGCTCCATTCCCTGAGCTTGGTCTCGCCACCCTGGAGCGACTTGAACTGTTGAACCTCCGTGTGCTCGATCACGGGCTTGCCTCCACCTCCTCTCGCCCCAGCGTTCCCACCACACCATTGCCTCAGCGACAACGGTAAAATCTCTTGGGTTTGATTTGCTGTTGGGGATATCCCGGAACATGTCATTTCAAATCATTGGATGGTCCCTCGCAACGCATGTTGCAACATGTTAACTGTGGTCAAGCGATCATTCATGTTGCGACCCATGCAATACATTGTGAACGTCTCGTCGTTGCCGACCGCCCTGGGGAACTTTGTGGCGCTGCGTTCGACATGCCGCTCCATGCATTCACGCTCTGCCGTGGCGAATGTGCCATCAGAATTGAAGCCTCCGTCCTCGTAGGTCTCGCTGCGGAATTCCGCGGGTTGGCTTGCGCTCGGCTTGTACGAGACCCGTCGGACACCGGCTACAGTCATCGGCCTGACCTAAGGAACGAAAAATAAGGAACGAAGCCCCTTTTCTTATCCCAAGGAATAACGCAGAAGGAACGATAAAAAACACATCACGCATAAGGAACTGTAAATAACGCGTGTAAGACCCAAGGAACGAACGAGCCCCTTTTGAAAAGTAATGGCTCCTGATTTCAAGCCGCTCACTGCAGCTTGACATCGACACCCGGATCGGGACCTGCCTTCGGCCCCCGCTGCGGCCCGCGGGGAGGCACCCGACTCCTCCCGCCGCCGCGCACCTCCAGGCGCCCCGCGGGCGAGCGCAGCGAGCGCGCGGCGCCCGCGTGCGGTGCAGCGCCGCGGTGGAGCGAGCAGCAGAGCAGCTTTCACGATGGGCTCAGGGCCTTAAGCGGGCCCTGGAAACGACAGGGCCGTTTTTGTTACCGGCTCCGTTTTTGCTGTTGTTGTTGCCGGTTCCGACGCCGTTCTTGTACCGGTTCCGTCGCCGTTTCTTGACCGGTTCCGGCTCCAGTTCCAATTTTTGCTGCCGTTTCCGGTCGCCTTTTTTGTTGCCGCTTCCATGTTGAATGGACATTTTTTGGGAAACGGTGAAAAAACGGCCCTGCTGCTTTCGGGGCCCACAGAGCTCAGGGCCCGCCTCGGCCCCTGTGGGGCCGTTGCGACTGCCGCTGCAGCCGCTGCGCGAGGAAGCGTGCGCTTCGCGGCGCTGACCACGCGCACCCCGGAGCCCGTGGGGCGAGCCACGGGCTCCGCTGCCACGCAAATGTGGTAGGAGCTCTTGTTTCCGGTGGAGGCAGCCTGGGCTTGAGGCAAGCGGCAGGAGGGGCCAACACTGCGCGAGCACCCTGCTGTCTGCCAATGTGTGCCCAACTGCTGCATGCTGCGTTACTGCCCTGCACCCGCTCATCCAACCAGAACGCCATAATGTGACAGATCCTCTTCCTCCTCCTCCTCCTCCTCCTCCTCCTCCTCCTCCTGCCGCTCCTCCTCCTCCTCCCCCTGCTCCTGATACTTACCCTCCTCTTCCTCTTCCTCCTGCTCCTCCTGCTCCTCCTGCTCCTCCTGCTCCTCCTGCTCCTCCTCGATGTTCTCCTCATCGCAGTCCTCCTCCTCCGACTCCTCCTGTGCCTCCTCCGCCTCCTCCTCCTCCCTCTCCTCGCGACGTCTCTCTCTCTCCACGCTCCCCTGCCGGCGCCTTGGCGGGACAACCCGCCGCCTCAGGATGCAGAAAAAGGGGGGGGAAGGCGGGCGGGCGGCTGGCGCAGGCCAGGCGGATAGTCCTGCCCGTCGCCCTCCAGCTCGAGGAAGATGCCCTTGCCGCAGAACGCGCCGAACGACTGGCCGCTCGTGCCCTCCAGCTTGGCGTGGCAGGCGCCAGCCGCCAGCGAGTCGCCCCACCTCTTGCAGATCCTGGCAGGGAGAGCCCAGCATCGAAGCGATGAGTCGAATCGGCGATCGAAATTAAAGCGGATCGACGGAGATCGACAAGCGAGTCGGGAGAAGTCGAACCGGAGGACATCGACAGGATAGCGCGTCTCCGGTAAGGCATCGGAGTCCAAACTGGAATCCGAAGTCGAGTCGAATCGGAAGCGGAAGCCATCGAGATCGAATTGAACCGAATCGGAGGGATCGGAGCGAGCTCCGTCCTGGACGCCAGCACGGTGCCCACGGATCGCTCGAGGTTGCGCACGCCCGTGATGGTGTGCTTGGACGGCCGGCCGGTCTCCAGCGTGCCCTGGAAGGCCTCGATGAGCTTTGCTGTCACGCAACCAGGCGGCAGGATGTCCGAGTGGTCCTGCTCGTTGTTGTTTCTAGGTCGTGTATATATATATATATATATATATATGTATACATGTACGTATGTATATACAAATGCGGAGGGGGCATTGAGTAAGGAGCCCTTAGATGAGGAATTCAGGGTCTGGAGGCCGGTGGAACTCCAATCGAGGCTTGGCCATGGCCATCGCCGCCACCCTCATCAGATAAGGAATCCTCCAGGGTCTGCAGCATCCTGGGCGCATTCCTTAACCAAAGCCCCCATCATATATATATACACACATATAAATATGGATATAGATGCGCGTGTGTTCACCTATATATATATAGGTATATATATATTTATGTATATATACACATACATACATACATACATACCTACCTACCTACCTACCTACCTACCTACCTACATACATACATACATACATACATACATACATACATACATACATACATCTATATATATACACATACTTACAAGTACAAACATCTACATGCATGTATGTACGCATGTGTATGTATATAGCCCGCCTCTCACATTTCAACAATCAATTCGCATTTCCTATTCAATCGCACTGTCACTAAAATCGTGAGACTGATCCGGCGCTAAAAATAAGGAGAAGGAGGAGAAGCAAGCGAGCGAGCGAGCGATGCCTGGGCAGCTGGGGTTCGTCTGTGGGACACCTGCCGAATCTACCTGCTGGCGACTCCAAGGGCGTATGAAGAGCACACCTGAGACACCCCGAAGGCTCACTGAGGCCTTGAGAGGCCCTCCTTGGCTCACGGGCAGTGCCGACATGGCAGAATGAGCGGATGAGGAAGAAGATGAGGAAGACCGAAAGGTACGCATACTGCTACTCACCGAACCTCTCCTGGGGTGCGTTCTGAAGAATTTCGAGGCGAATCCAGCGGTGGCGACGAGGGCCTCCCAGAAGACGCAAAAAAGTGAAAACGAGGCAAGGGTAGCGACATGGTTACCTGTTCCTCCTCTGCGAGGAGGAAGCAAGGGAGGGCATGACCGACTGGCCCATGGCGCCTCCCCCAGGAATTATCAATGGTCCTGCTCGTACATCTTACGGTTCTCGACCTTACCGATGCTGCCAGCGTCCGGGAGCAGATGCGCCGGCGTCAAGAGCTTCGTCAGGACCAGCGGCGTCTCGAAAAACCTCGTGGGGTTCACCGTCAGGACCTCGGTGTGGCCGACCAGCTCGTCGACGGAGCGGAAGCCGAGCCTGGCCATCAGCGTGCGGGCCTCCTCGGCGATCATGAACAGGTAGTTCACTACGTGCTCGGGGAGCCCCTCGAACTTGGCCCGAAGCACGGGGTCCTGGGTGGCAATCCCCACGGGGCACGTGTTCAGATGGCACTTGCGCATCATGATGCAACCCATGGCGATCAGCGGGGCCGTTGCGAAGCCGAAGTGCTCCGCCCCCAGGAGCGCGGCGATGATCACGTCCCGCCCCGTCCTGAACAAAAGGGTGTCTACGGAAACCAAACAACACTGATACCGCTACTCTCCCGACCTCTCCCGGGGTGCGCTTTGACCAGAATCTTGCGGCGACCCCAGCGGTGGCGGCGAAGGCCTCCCAGCAGGAGGCACGAAACGGCGAAAACGAGACAAGCGTACACTTCGGTCGGAAGACGTGATTAGGAAAAAACAGAAAGTAGGAAGGCGGATGAAGTAGACTGGGCTCAGGCCCTCCCAGAGAATGACAAAATGCAGCAGCAGCAGATCGATTTCTAAAATAAGACGGCGCCTGAGGCAAATCGAGATCTGGGAATCCGAATACCTACTTCCAGCGACCGGCGCGCCGCGGTATCCGTACCTTTTCTTCCTCTGAGCGTTCGCCCGAGGGTGCGTCCCAAATCGATTCCCGGCCCCCCCCCCGGGATCCAAGCCGGCCAGCGTTCTTCGAGCCTGGGGCAGCACGGGCGCCCCCCCTCCCCCCGGAAAGGCGGAGGCGCAACAGCTCTCTCCGGCCCCGCGCGAACTCGCCAAAGAAACCTTCCGCCCCCCCGCCGTCCTGAGCTGCCCGTCGGTCTCGAGCGACACCCTCCCCCGCAGGCCGTTGAGGACCAGGGTCTGGTGGCTCTCGGCGAGGCCGAGCTCCCACGGCGCCCCCGCGTGCTTGATGCCCGTCCACTTCGAGGCGCCCGTGCCGCCCTCGCACCCGGAGATCAGGATGTGGTCGGCCTTCCGGGGGGAGCTAGTCAACAAACGCGCACAAACACACAGACACAGACACAGACACAGACACACGATACACATACACGCACAAGCACACGCACGCATGCACACATTCACACATTCACACACATTGACACATAGGCAGACACAGAGACAGAGACAGAGACAGAGACACACACACGCACACACACAGATACACACAAACACACACACGCACATTCGCACGCACGCATGCGCGCACACACGAACACACACACACACACACACACTATACATACGCGCACGCACGCACGCACGCACGCACGCACGCACGCACACACACACACACATACAAAAGCACACACACACACAACACACACACACACACAAACACAAACACACACACACACAAACGCACGCAGGCGCGCACGCTCGCACGCACAAGCGCACATACAGACGCAGACACACAAACACACACACACACACACACGCACACGCACACAGACACAGGCACTGACACAAACACCCGCACAATGACAAGCACAAACACAAACGTACACGCACAGACGCACATACGCACACACACACACATTCTTCATTCATTCACACACGCATGCGCCAAACTCTCCTGGCGAAAGGCCAAGCCATATGCAGAAGTTGATACTGTTGTTGTGATCGTCGTTTTCGGTGGATGTCCGTATGGGGCTGCTAATCGTAGGAACACTTGACAGAATGGGGAAGGGAAACACATTCTGGATCTGCCGCTGGCCCTCCGGTGGAGCTCGGCATGGGGCCACGAAGCGTGCGAGAGGGGTGCCGAACGAATCGGGTGCGGGTACGACGTGCGGACCTTGCCGTTGGGGGTTCGGGAGGACTTCCTCATTGGGCCACGGAACGTGTGAGGGGTGTGCCCGATCGGGCGCGGGTGCGGCGCGCGGGCACGCCGCTGCGGCCTTCGGTGGAGCTCGACATGTGGACAAGAAGCGTGCGAGGGGTACCCCGAATCGGGCGCAGGTGCGCCATGCGGACCCTTCCGCTGAAGCTTTCGGTCGATCCCTGCGCGGTGCCGCGAGGCGGCGAGGGGTGCGCCGAAGCGGGCGCGGGCGCGCCATGCAGGCCCCGCCGCTGGGGCCTTCGGCGGAACCGCACACGGAGTCGGGAAACGCGCGAGGCGCGCGCCGACATGGCGCCACAATATTTGCGCGGAGGGCAGATGCAAGGATGGATGGATGGATGGATCGCTGGGGGGCCAACGTCTCCCATGCGCTGCAATCGGCATTCTAAAGCTAAGCGCACCTCTGCGTAGACCCAAAGACAAGGCGATATGGGGCTGGGCTGGAGCTTATAGCCGCGCGCCAAGCCGCGCCCGCCAGCGCGAGGCCAGCGCGCCCGCGCCGGCGAGCCAGGGTTGCGCAAGCATGGCCCCGCAGCTTCAATCCTTCAATCACCTGCGCTTCCTCTTACCTACCTCCTGCTGGGGCGCGAGGAGGAGGTCGGCGCGGCAATCGGCGAGCTGGCGTTAGCATGGCTCTGACTCACTCGCTCGCCGCTGCCGCCGCCCCCCCCCCCCCCCCCCCCCGATCTCAAACGGTCGGGCCCGCGATGACGCTCTGAGCGACGATCGCCCCAGCCCCGCTCGGGCGGGCGCGGGGGCGAGGATGGCGGGCCCTCGCGAGGGGCGGGGTCAAGGAAAATGCGCCGCTCTGCCTGGCGACAACAAGTGCTGTCTTCCCGAGCCCCCCCTGCAACTGCTGCCTGCCTTGGCCCCCACTCGCCATTGCTGCGCCGATCGCAGCTGCCTCTCCGCCGCTCGCGCCAGCCCTGGTTTGGGGGCCTGTCCAACCATCTTCTTCGCCATCTGCCGCTCGAGTCCCATGGCGAGCGTGGAACGCACCCCCTCGATCTGGATCGCAATCCCGCATGGCACCTCCTCGGCCGCGACACTTGCCTTATGCTGCCCCCCTGGAACACCCTCCTTCGCGCGAGGGCCTATGATGCGGCGCGCTGCGAAAATCTCTCTTGCCGCGCCGCTCACTGTCGGCCCTGGCGCCCGCTCCAGCCACGTCGCGGCGGCCCTCGCACATCGCGCGCACTTCGGCCCCTCCGTCGACGACCGCACCATCGAGATTTCTACTTGTAGATGTGGTGGTCCGATGCCGTAGCCCTCTCCTTGCGTCGCCCAAGACCGCGCCTTCGCCCTGCGCCGCGCACTTCGCGACGCCTGGGCACGTCCAGACGTCGCGCATGGCCGCTGCCAGCTCTCGGCCACGGGCGTCGCGGAGAAGTCCGAGGCGCTGCAGGCTGCTGATCATATCCCCCATATATCCGTCCACGTCGTGCTTCTTGCGGGTGCCCTTGCCAGCCTGTCTGGTTTTGCCTTCTAGCTCTACTGGTTGCTCGCCCGGCGCCCCCCTCCCGGGCGCCCTCCAGTTCGCCACCCGCAGGTCGTCGCGCGGCCCCGGAACTCCGTCGACGGGCAATGGCGCGCATTCGACACCCCCCCCAGTCTCGAGCCTCGAAGCAACAGTGCTCAGTCAGTCAAGCCCGGCGATCGCACGGCGCAATGGCATAACGACCAGCTCGCGCTGTCATCTTCCGTAGTCTGCGCAGCAGGTGTTTTTTTTTTGTTCCGCGATCCCTCTGCTGCTGACATCGCGCGATCTACCCTCGCTTGCCTGCTGGCAGATGCTGTTCTATGACATGGACACTGGTTAGATCTCGATCCTGGCCCCAGCATCCAGCGCCCTCCATGCACTTGCCGCTGGTGCGTTGCCTATGCTCGGTAAGTTGCGACGCGCCTTCCACGCCCCACCACGTTCTCCTTTCCAAAAACAATATTACACGCCAGCGGCTTGTCCATCATGTGTGCAGCCTCCTCCTGCGTCATGTCCTGCTCCTCTTTCTTGCTCTGAACGCGCGTGAGCTTGTCCGAGCGATGAGGAGTTCAACCGGTCCCCACTTTTTGCGTCCTCCAGTCATGTCTTCGAACCGCAGCCAGTCTCTGCCGCCGTCTGCACCACCTTCGAACATCTCCCCCTGGAGCGACCTGCGCGCGCAAATCCCCCTGCGCCCGCAATGCCCAAGACGCGCTGCCGCCGCGGGCTCTGCAGTCCGCATCCAGCGGGGGGCGACCCCTCCAACTCCCCCATCGACGCGTTTTCGCACATGGCTGCTGGAACTTGTTTTGCCGCGTGGGTGTCTCCCCATGTCGCGGCGGGGGCCCTTGAACCGCCGACGCGCGCCGCTATGTATCTACGTCTAATTTTCGCAAACCTCGAAGTTCGACATAGCTTGAATCTTGCCCTCCAGGGCACCCCAAAAGGGCCCCCCCCCCCCCCCCCGTGAACCTGGAAAGTCCCACCAGGACCGCGCGCAAATAAAGGCAGCCCCCATGGGACAAACGCTGGAACGCCAGCGCCGTGCGACTTGACTCCAGCGCTTGCCAAGGCACTCGTCCTTCCCTCCATGCTCTGTCCATCGCCCCGCCGCGCGGTCGAATCTCATCGCTCGCTGCGCCGTCCGCTGCCAGGCGCTGCCGCGGCATTCTTCGGGCAACCGAGTTATCGGGGGCAACTCGGGCCCGGGACAACGCGGGTTTGGATTCCCGAAAAAACGAACCCGAGTTAGCCCTGACCCGAATTACCCCTGATGATTTGGGGCTACGGGCGCCCGAGTTCTCCGGCTTGGATTCCCGAAAAACGAACACGAGTTAGCCCTGGCCCGAGTTGCCCCTGATGATTCGGGGCTCTGAATTCTCGCGCCGCGCTGGGCCGCTCCCTGGGCGTCTGCTGAGTTGCGCCGCGTCCGCCCCAGCGCGGCGCGCCCCCCCCCCCCCCCCGCCGCTTCTCGCCGGCAGACCAATTGTCGTTTTCCAGCATTCAATCGCGTGCCGCCTTCCAAGCTCTCGCCCTAGACCCTCTGTCGCCCCGTTGATCCTTGCAGTGTCTTCTGCCGGGCCCAGCGCGCCCAGCGACGAATGCGTCTTCGCGACGTCATCCACGCGCGCGGCCGGGCTCAGGCCAGCCACCCAGCGCCCTCCAGGGTCGGGCCCCTCGCCCTCAGGAGTCCGCAGGCGCGGTCCTTCTCCGCCAGCGCAATCTCCCCCTTGTCGCCGCGCGGCTCGCGGCAGCCAGCCAAGTCCCTGGAGGCCGCGCAGAACGCGTCTGTCTCCCCGATTCACGCATGAGGCCCGCCGCGCCGTCTTTGCCTCTGGTCGCCGTCGAGCGGCGCGCGGCCCCGACTGCGCGCCCCCCTCCGAACGCTGCCCTCGTGCAATCTTCTCCAACGTCTCGCGCGCTGCCCGTCTAAACACGCCGGCGCAATCGAAGCGCGTCGCGGCGCGTCTGTGGCTGAGCCCTTGCGTTCCTCATGTGCAAGTCACGGCGATGATCGGCGCGTCTCCCCTGCGCTTGCAATGGCGCCCCGCGCGCCCCGCAAGGCCGTTCTTCTACACATGATCAATCGCGCGCGTTGCCGCGGGACCCCGCTGGCCAGTCGCTGCAGCATTCGCCCGCGCATCCCCCCCTGCATCTGCCCTTGCCTACTCCTAAGGACGCTACTCGCAAGCAGTCCATGCGCACCCCCTCGCACCGCCTCGCGCGCGCTAGAAACTCTGACTACTTGACTCGAGACAGCTTCGCGCCGCAGGTAGGCTGGTGAGCCCCCACGCTCGCCCAGCGCGCCATCGACAAAACTTACATTCAAGCGCCGCTGGCGCGTTGACCTCGCGGCTATCCGCCCGCTTCAACGCTTACCTTGGCTTCTAACTCCTCTTGGTGAGCAACTTTCGCCCTGCGATAAAGCGTGTCTGGCGTCTCTTCCTCTGCGCGCCCTCGCTCCAATCGCCGAGCAACTCGCTCGCTTGGTTCATTTGGATCTGCAGTGTTCTCTGTCGGCATCTCAATCAGGAACGCCACTTCTAAAGGCAAGCAAGCCCCGTGCTGGATATGCCATCCCCCAGCTACTCTTTCGTCGGCAACGAGCGATTCTTCCCATATCGCCTCGAACGCCCCCAAGGAGGTCCGCGCCAAGCCACCGTGCAATGCCCTCGCCATCCTCCGACGACGCCTTGCTGAAGTGCTCGGTCTGCGCCTCATCGTGCGTAGTCGATCGCATCCACCTCCAGTTCGCATTCATGCCCAGGTGCCTCTTGGTCTGAACTCCATACTGCCGCTTCCACTCCTGTTCCCGGCGGAGAGAGGCATCTCTGTCATGGGCCTCCCGCGGCGCTGCTGCATTGACAACGTAAGGCACGTGCATCAGCATAGCGAATTGCTTCGACCCCCTCAATAATGGCTGCCGCTGGCTCTTGCGCCCCATGTTTGTCACGCACTGTTCGTTATGCTTGCAACGTTGGTGCCCACCCTTTCGAATTATGATGCATGCGTGTTGCCTCAAACTCGGTTATGCTGTAGTCCAGGGGCTCTTTTGATACCTTTTGCGTTCGTCACTTTCGCCCAGCTTACATAGTGTACTCCATGGCCTCCGTCGCAGAAGCTAGCTCTAAGCAGATCCCACGTGCCATCTGGGCTGAACCTTGCTTTTGTTACTTGCCACTTCTCGTCTGTAGCGCTTATGCGCTAGGTCTCGATCCTTATGAACAATGTGTTGGTGCGCCCCTTTTCTCAAACACTTGCGCTAACTTATCTCAGTCGAATCGTGTCGGCCGGCGCTGTCGTCCATGATCCTTTTTGCAAGTCGCGTTGAGTGCCACTGGTATATCCGATCTCGTTGTTCTCTCCCCCGTGCCAAGTGGAACATCCGCCCTGCAAGTGGTCACGTTGTGCAACCCACCATTGCGTCAGCTGCTCGAGATGGTTTGATGTGATGATCGGTTCTCGATTCCGCAAAAGAACGCATGGACAATCTCGTCTAAGAACACCGTCTGTATCCTCAGGTGTGTGCCCAAGCATGTGTTCAGATTGTTCCGTCCGGTGCTGCTCTCGGTCTTCGGCTGCATTCCACCAGTTGTGGTTCTGGCAATGATTTGTTTGTTGCAAGCACCTCGGGTAACCTCTCGCCCGTTCAAAATCAGAACCAGACCCAAAACGCAAAACAAATGTAGTGACGCGTGCGTGTCGCACAGCTGCTCCACCCACTGAAACCAACTACCTTTCCCAAGTCGTCGTGCTTTTCTCCCCTACCAGTTAGTAGGAACCGCGCACCTATATAACATCCATGGTCAACTGATTTATTTGAATGGTTGCTGCCCGTCGCCGCAGTTCCAGAGGTGTGTGTTGTAGTTGTCGCAAAGTATATATTGGTATTTTATTGTGCGTATGGCAGTTTATCCCGCAGCTCTTGTCAACCCATCCACTTCTCCTCCACCAACAGTGTATTGCCCAGTGTATTGGGCACTGTTGAATACTCGCTTGGTACTCCCCACGTGCACGTCGCTTCGTTCCAATCAATGCGATCGGCGCCCGGTTCTTCGGTTCACTGCTGATGTCCTCGCACCTCTCACCCCATGCTGTGGTGTATACTGCACAGCCTCCACCATCCACCCCTCGTACATGTAGTCTCGTGTGCAGGAGATCCACTCAGACATCATTGGAGGATACATCGCGGCCACGCCTCTCAGCATCGCCGCGCCGCCGTCCCTTCGCGGTGGCCGCGTGCCGTGCACCTCGCCCTGAAGCTGCTGGCTCCTCTCGCCGGCCAGCCGACAAGGCTTGCAAATGACACGCCGGCTGCAGAGGCAAGGATGGGAGGAGGGAGGAGGGGGTCAGGAGGAGGAAGGAGGAAGGACGCGGGGCGCTGTCCCTGTCTCTTCAAAACGAGGGCCAAGCTCCACAGGATGGTTGGGAAACGCATTTCGGGCGCACGCGGGCGGGGCGGGGCACCGCTCGGCCGTTCAAAGCCGCACGCTCGGCGACAGCCCAACCGGCGAACAGGAGGTGAAGCACCACGGGACGATGCAGGGAAGGCCGAAAACCAGACAGCCGAATTCGGACGACAAGGGGCCAGCGAGACAAGGGCAAGGACGGCCAAGCAAAGCGAAGAGAGAAGCGGGGAGCGAGGAGGCAGCCGTCAGCCGAAGGAAGGGGAGGGGAGATGGACAGGACACGAGGCACATCGGGCCGACCGACGGGGAAGGTGAAGCCGAGGAGATCAAGGAGGCACCGCGCCACACACACACACACACACTCTTTCTTTTGTTGTCCCTCTCTCTCTCTCTCTCCCACAAACACAAAACAAAACACGCACACACAAACACAACAGCACACAAACGCACACACACACACACGGCCTCACCGATCCCAGCCAAAGCCACACCCTGGGCCCAGGATCTGCGCCGTATGCCATCCTGTCTTGGTCAGGAAGGCATATGCACCGCCCCCAGGCGACAAGATCGGCCAGGCCAGGATCGGTGTTCGTGTATAGTTGCCGCCCTCCGGGGCCTTGCACTTGGCGACCCCGGCCGCCACGACACCGACGCCCTGCTCGCTGACCAGCTTGACGCTGACACTGGCCTGAGGTGCAACGATAGGGAGGGGACTAGCACAAGGGGGGGAAACATCGACCTGGAATCAGCGATATATCGCCGATAGATCGGCGATAGGCCCCCGATAGCGAATCAGCAAGTTCCTGGGCTGGGTGGGGCTATCAGACCCTATCGGCGATCAATGGGCGCTTGGGCTCGAGGCATCCCCTCCTGTGCCTATCCCAGACATGCGCTTTTAGAGAGTCCTGGGGCCTGGCAAGGGCTCCTAGAGACCGAACATTATATAGTAGAATATAAAGAGTGATTTTCTTAAACAGAAAGGAACAAACTCACGTCGGTATTTCTGGGGGCGCGCAAACATGTATTAGCGATACATGGATTGGCACGCGGTCGCCAAATCAATGGATCGGGGGAGGTGCCCTCCCCAAAGTGCGGCCAACTGCGCCTCGTTCGGCAGCGGAGATCCGCGAATTCCTATGGAAGCAACCCGTTGCTAGTCCACGCCCCCTTGATCCATGTTTGCGATCGCCTGAATGTCTGTAGCGACGCGACCAGTTCTGGGATCCCTCCCGTATCGTTAAGGACCGCATGGCAGGGAACGGGGTGGCTTTCCTGGCCACAGCGAGCCAAGGCCACAAACAGGACCCAGGAGGAGGAGGAGGAGGAGAAGGAGGAGGAGGAGAAGGAGGAGGAGGAAGAGGAGGAGGAGGAGGAGGGGGAGGAGGAGGAGAAGGGGGAGGAGGAGGAGTAGGGGGAGAAGGAGGAGGAAGAGGAGAAGGAGCAGGAACGGAACGGAATGGAACGGAAGTGCCCGCGGGGGAGTGCACAGCACTAAAGATGCAAGTGAACATACTGGCAACAAACTTATCCCTTGGACTGGGCCTCTCTGGCCAACTCCTTTACACGAATCCGTTCAAACAAAGCCGCCATTCGTTGCTCGTAGGGAGGGGCCGCATCAGCACTGGAGAAGGATGTCCTCACCACGGTGGGGTCGTCCTGACACGGAGGGTCGGCGGAGAGGCTGGGGCCCGAAACGGGCACCTTCCCCTCCCCCCCCTCCATGCATCGTCCCCCCATGAAGTCGCGCCCAAGCATCGTTGCCCCTGATGGCCTCCGGGTTCGCGCTCTTGAGGTCGTAGATGAGCTGCGCCAGGTCCTCGATCGAGTAGATGTCGTGGTGCGGCGGGGGCGAGACCAGCCCGACGCCCGGGGTGCTGTTGCGGCACTCGGCAATGTGGGGCTCCACCTTCGGGCCACGAGATCTAGACATGCCCACTCAAGACGAAGCCAGAACGAGATCAAATTCGGGTGAACATAAATCGGGAATCTCTGAAATCCGGCGGCTCTGGAGGATGTCTCGGGTGCCGCGGCCTTCTCAGAGCGGTCCGGAATGCTCCGAGTGCTCCGGAACGCTCTGGAACGGATGTATCCACGCCCTCGCCCCGTCCGACCACTGCCCAGGCCTGGTCCATCCTGAGTCCAGGAGCGGTGTACGGCCAAACCCGAGACAGAAGAACATCCCCCAAAAACATGAGGCCCTCCGCCGGCCAAACTGACGAGCAGTCGAGGGTACCATCCCCCGGGGCGCATAGTAACATCCAACAGACACGAGAAGAACATCAGGGCTCCCCCCACTGAACCGGCCTCGACCTCATTACCGATACCGCTACTCCCCGAACCTCTCTCGGGGGCGCGCAAACATGAGTTAGCGATCCGTGAATTTGGCGCGCAGTCGCCACATCCATGGATCGGGGGAGGTGCCCTCCCCAAAATGCGACCAATGGAAACGTGACCCGTCGCTAATCCACGCCCCCTGATCCATGTTTGCGATCGCCTGACTCTCCCAGGGTGCGCTTGGACAAGACTTTCGAGGCGGATGCAACGGCGGCGACGAGGGCCTCCCAGGTAGGAAGAATGAGAGGCGACACCAGCACCACCAGGGCGCGAGGAGATGCGAGGAGCAAGGGGGGTCTCCCTGGTGGTGTGGTCCCCCCTCTCGCTCGAGACATCCCCAGCCCCCAGCTCGTGGAGGCATCGTGGACCTCCTCGCTGGAGGTGGCCCCCCTGTTGGTGTTGGTGTCGCTTCTCCTCCCTCCGACCAGGAGGCCCGAAAAGGGGCAAACGGGAGCCCGGTAGCGGCATCCTCTGACCGCCCAGACATGAAGGGGCCCTGGGACACACACACACACACACACACACACACACACACACACACACACACACACACACACACACACACACATATATTCCTCCAGATGTTCCAATATTTTCAGGGGTTTTGTCTTCCCCCCCACTTCCCATAGTTTCCCACATATCCTGGGGAATCGACGGTTCATTGCGTCTGTGTGTGTGTTTTCTCCCCCTCCTGAAGACAGGGAGGCGCACGCGCCGTCCCTGGGCCCAGGAGGGGCCGGGGGGCCTCCGTCGGCGGCGAGCCTGGGGGGGGGAAGCGAGATGGGGGCGGCCCTTCTCAGGAGGCTAATTAGGGCGCCCCCCCCTCCTCCTCCTCCTCCTCCTCCTCCTCCTCCTCCTCCCTCCTCCTCCTCCTCCTCCTCCTCCTCCTCCTCCTCCTCCTCCTCCCCCCTCCTCCTCCTTTCCTCCCTCCTCCTCTCCTCCTCCTCCTCCTCCTCCTCCTCCTCCTCCTCCCCCCTGGGAGAGGTCGTCCCCGCCCCCCCCCGAAGACACAGAACACAAAGAGAAGAGCCCCGCAGAGGGCCGAGTCGCCCCCGAGGGGCCCCGCTGCCTTCCGAGAAGGCCTGCCCGCTCGCGCGTCCCTCCCTCGCTCGCTGCGCTGGCAGGTGGGCGCGCGTGTGCAAATCTCGCCGCTCCGAGCACCTTCCAGCCGGGCAGCTCTCCGCCCTCCCCGGGCTTGGCGCCCTGGGCCATCTTGATCTGGATCTCCTTTCGGGAGGGGGCCAAAGAGTTATGACGTTCCAACCGACTTTAGCCTCCACCACCAGAAAGAACTTCGAGCACCGAGAAAGCATCGAGACTGGAGGGTTACCACGTGTCGGGTCCTGGGAGGCGATGCTCGTTTGACACTGTTGCGATACTTTTCTGGGTGCTCGAAATTATTTCTGGAATGTGGTCTTTAGCACGATGGGAACAACATAAGCCAAGAGGTAAGCGTCCAGGTGTCGCTCCATTCTGAAATGAAAGCTGGACGCGCATCTGTGGTCACAGCTTCCAGCTGCGCCTCAGTTTGAGGAACATCTGGACGCTGTGATCAGTCTGCGACTGGCTAGGGGAGATACGCTTACTGCGCGTCCTTCGAGAAGAGAGAGCAGGTACGTAGTGCCGATACCGCTTCTGCGCATCGAGGATGGGATTTGGGGTCGGTTAGACGACACGTCGGCCGTCGGCATTAAAAGAACAAAAACACACACACGATAAACAGAAGCTTCTGGCGCTCCGCTTGGATTTCTTGGATCTGCGCTGGACCCCCTCCCTGGCGCGCGGAACGCGGCGGCGCCCGAGGCGCCGCCGGGGGGAGCCAAGGCGCGGATGCACGAAATCCGCGCGGGGCGCCAAAAGTCTATGTTTACCCTGTGTCGCTCAATAGCTCTGGGGGTATCTGTAGTCCAGGGGGAGGTACCTGTAGTGCGGGGGAGGGGTACCTGTAGTCCAGGGGGGGGGGACCAGTACTCGGGGATGGGGTACCTGTAGTCCAAGGGAAGGGTACCTGTAGTCTGGGGGGTACCTGCAGTCTGGGGGGGGGGGGGGGGAACGCGTGTTCACGCGCCAAGGCACGCGTGGATGTAGTCTTGGGGGGGTGCTTGTGGTCCTGGGGGGGGTACCTGCAGTTCCGGGGGGGGTACCTGTAGTCTGGGGGGGGTACCTGTAGTCAGGGGACCCAGAACTTATGAGGGGCGGATTATCCAGGTTGGGGATGTGGGGTCGGTTAGTGAGACGACAGGTCGGGCGTCGGCAGCGGCCCTCGATGCCGTGGGCCTTCGACGCCGTGGAGCCTCGACGGCCCTCAAAGGAGGTGCTCTCGGGGGTCCTCGACGCACGCTTTTCGGAGGCCTTCGGCAAGCCTGCGGCGACTACGTCGTCGTCGTCGTCGTCGTCGTCGTCGTCGTCGTCGTCGTCGTCGTCGTCGTCGTCGTCGTCGTAAGGGGGGGGGAGGCCCCGCCGGCGCCAGGAGCTGCGGCGGGCGCGCGGAGGCCAGGAGGAGGGCAAGGGGGGGAGGGGGAGGGAGGTCAGGGAGAGGACGGGATGATCATTTCTCTCCTCCGCAAAACATCTGACCACCTGAGCTTCAATGCCTGTAATACACGCCAGCGAAGCAGCGCTACAGCCTGAAACGTAAGAGAAAGAGAGAGAGAGAGAGCAAACGGCCACGGATCCGCGGAGACACTGAATACCCCAAGCTAGCTATAGAGAGCAAGTCGTGCAACGACTAGGAAGCGGAGCCTAGAAACAAGGAGAAGAAGGAGAAGGCGCAAGAGGCGCAAGAGGAAAGAGGAGGGACGACGAGCACGCGCCAGCGCCGCCAGAGAAGAGGGGGAAAAGCTGCGCGGCTGTAGCACAATGTGTATGTGCCCCCACTGACGCCCATGTCAGTGGTACCTCACACGGATATGGAGCCACAAGCAGCAGAAAGAGAGAGAGAGAGAGAGGAGGAAAGACAGAGAACGAGAGAGAGAGAGAGACAGCAGAGGACAAGAGAACAACAACCACAGCGGAAAGGAAGCGAGGCTAGAAAAGATCGATGCATTGCACTGGCGCCTGGCAGCCACCCCAAGGCGGCAGGAGGACGAGCCCGGCACAGTGGCCAGGGTCAGGCGCCAGCGGCCAGGCAGGGGCCAGCCATTGCACAGGGCGGGAGACGAAACCCCCAACTCAATGGAAAAAGCTAACAGAGTCAAAGGGGAAGAAACGAGACAAAGACAGGGGGGAATATCCTATAACAACTCGCAGGCCGTGCTCAGAACTTCATGCCGATGACCCCTGGCCCAAGACGTTCGCCCGCCCGCCCATCAAGGACACAACAGAGTAGAGGCAGGCCGCGCTGGCGTCGGCGCGGGCGTCGGTGCTGGCGTCGTCACTGGCGTAGCGGCCGGCGGCGGTGTCGGCGCAGGCGCCGCGGAGAAATTCGGCGGGAGGTTTGGACCAAAGGCTTACCGCAGAAATCACTGTAGGGCTGGTGTTGACGTTGGCGCTGGCGTTGGTGCGGGCGTCAATGCTGGCGATGGCGCTGGTGGAGGCGCTGGTGTTGGTGCCAGTGTAGGCGCATCGATGAACACCTCACGTGATCGAAGTCGCCGTCCAGCATGTGCACAGGCAGGCTGTGGAACCCACAGCGCTTGCCCTCAAGGCCGCTGTCCTCGGCAGGAGTCGGGGCTGAACGAGACGGAGTTGGCAATCTAAGTTGGCGTCAGGCGTCGTAGTCGAAGACAGGATCGTGTTGTTCCCGGCGTCGGAAGGAGGCATTCGACGCTGGAGTCTGCGCCAGCACTGGAGCCAGCGTGTCTGACGGGGTACTCGTGCCCCCCAGAGTTGGCGCCGAAGGCACACTCGAAAGAATGCTGCCCTCTTGCCTGTCACGGGCTCGGTGCGTCCGCCCTCAAGCACGTCGTTCCGCCTCGCAAGCGTGGTGCGGCATGGTTGGATCTCCCTCCGGTGGGTCGGTGCTGGCGCCGGTGCTGGCGTCGGCGTTGGCGCAACTACTGCCCGTCTGCTCGTGGCGAGCCGTGCAACACAGTAGAACCCAACCCAAGCGTGTGGCTAGCTGGTGCGTTCTGTCGGCACCAATGCTTGTCTTCATCTTGCACGTGGCACAGTATCTGGGCTCCTACGAGGGCGTGCCGGGAAGTTGGCGCCCAGCAGGTGGCTCGCTGCCAAAATCCGCCTTGCTGGTCGGGGTCGTCTGGCGGGTGCTCCCTCGCGCTCTGGCGCGAAGCGCGGCTCGTACCCTTCGCGCCGCTTCCTACCGGATGCTGGCGGTGATCGGTGGCGGGAGTGGGGCGGTGGATGCTGGAGGCTCGAGGTCGGAGTGTTGAGCTAGTAGAAGCGGAGACTCGATAGCTGGAGATGGACGGGGAAGTCAGACTCTGAAGGACAGGACGGAGTGCTGGGCTGTATGGGGCTGGAGGACGATAGGTGGAAGTGGACCGTCGGATGGTGGATGCTGGTGGTCAGAGACCAGAACTGACGGAGGCTGGAATCCGATTGGTCGAAGTGAGGTGGAGCGTCGGGTGCCGGTGGCTGCATGCCAGGCTGGCGGGGACTGGAGGAGGATAGGTCGAGGTGGTATTGCGTCTGCGGAAGTTGGAAGCTGATTCTGGTCGTGGTCGTGGTTGCTGTTCGTGGTCGCGGTGGCTGTTTCAGGTCGCGGTCGTGGTGGCCTCGCGTGGTCATGGTGACGGTTTCTGTTCGTTGTGGCTGTTCCTCGCCGTGGTCGCGCTAGCTGTTCGTGGGCGTGGTGGATGTTCCTGGTCGTGGTCGTGGTGGCTGTTCGTGGTCGTAGTGGGTGCCTTGCCGCATCATGGTTACCTGCATGTGCCTTTCTGGGTGTACGCTGACGTGCCGCCGTGATAGTCCTGGCCGTGGTCGTGAAGGCTGTTTCTGCTCGCGTATGCTGGTTCTGCTCGTGGTCGTGGAAGCCATTTGTCAAGGATTGTGTTTTTTTCCGTTATGTATCGTGCATTTCTTCCCTCGCCTCTTCGATGTATGCATTGATGCGCAGAAGCTCCATGCAACGAAAATGTAACGAAGTTCGGCTGCTCTGTGACGTGCTCGGTTCGCCGCTGCCCCTTGGTCGCCTAGCTGTTCTCCGCGCTGTGGTGCGAACCTGTTGCTGTAGACGGGGCTGGAGTTGTGAGGGACGGGAGCTTGGAGTCACAACCCATGTCGGCTCGTCGACCAGACCTGGTGATGGAGTCATAGTCGGGGTCGTGGGGATAGCAGCCATGGGCGGAGACGTCGACGCTGCCGTCAATGCCTGATGCAAAAATCCCAGCCACAGTCCTGTGCCTGGTCACTCAGCTCGGGGACTCTGTTCGCCAGCGTCGCTTTGTGTTTGGCGTCCTGGCGTACCTCCGACGCCGATGAAAGCGCCGAGGTTGGTGAAGGCGTCGGTGCTGGCGTCGGCAATGTTGGTGCCCGTGCGATTGCGGCGTTGACGCTGGCGTTGATGATTGTGTCAGAGCTGGCGTGCGCGCTGGCGTCGGCGCCGACGTAGGCGCCGACGTAGGCGCTGGCGTGGGAGCGAAGTCGGGAATTCAATAGAGTAAAGCGCCTCAGGAAGTCCAGGCGACCCAGCGCCTCAGGAGTGCAAGGGGGCACAGCACAGTGGGAATCCAAGGAAACACAGCGCCTCGTAGTGTAAATGGCACCATGGCGTCCCTCAATTGCTATTGTAGGCTAGGTTGGTGCTAGATTCAGTGTTAAAGAACTGCAATGTTAGTGCCGTTGCCTGCACAGCGTCGGCGCCTGCATTGCATTGGTGCTGATGTCAGCGTTGGCGTCCGCGCTGGCGTCGGTGCCGACGCAGGCGCTGGCGATGGTGATCGAGTCGGCGGCGTGGGCGCTGGCGTTGGCGCAGGCGTCGCGGGCCCGGTCGCTGATGCTGGCGATGGTGCTGGTGACGTCGAAGCTAGCAAATGTGCCAAGCTGGGGCTGGCGCTATATCGGTGGCTTCTGCAAGGAAGTCGGAAGGATGAGATGGCGGATGCCCGATGGGCCGGCACGCCGATACACCTGCGGTGTCCCAGAGTCGGCAATTCAAGCGCGCACAACACCTGGGGAATCCAAGCGGGTAACCGTTACACCGCCTCGCGCTGTAATTGGCGTCTCGGCGTACCTCGCCAGAGGGTGCGACGGGCGGCTCGGGCCAGAGGGTGTGAGGCTGCTCATGGTCGTGGTCGTGGAGGGTGTTCATGGTCGTGGTGCTGTTTCTGGTCTAGGTCGCGGTGGTTGTGCGTGGTCGCATTGGCTGTTCTTGGTCGTTGTGGCTGTTACTCTTAGTGGTCGTGGTGACTCTTTGTGGACTTGGTGGCTGTGTCTGGTCGTGGTCGTGGTGGATCTATTTTGTCGTGGTGGGCCGCTTCTGGTCTCGGTGGCTGTTTCTGGTCGTGGCGTCTGCTTCTTGTCGTGGACGTGGTGGCTGTTCGTGGCCGTGGCTGGCGCAACCCTGCATCGTGGACCCCTCCATGTGTCACGGCTGTCGCCGGCGTGCCGCCGTGCTGGTCGTCGGCGAGTCGCCGGCGAATACCCCCTTCCTGGATGGACGCTGGCGTGTCGCCGTGCTGGTCGTGGACGCGGTCGCGATGCTTCTTGCTGGCTCTGCTGCTGTTCCCAGTCGGCGTGTGGCGCCGGCGCCGGTCCGTGGGATGAGGTCGCAGGGGCAAGCCGGCTGCTGGAGATCGAGTATCGATGTGCCGAGGTGGTGCGTGCTGGAGGTCGACGTGCGGAGGTGGTGGAGCGCGGTCGGGTGCTCGTTGCTGGATATCGGAGTGCTGGGCTGGTGGGAGTCGAGGCGCATGATGTTTGATGTTGCATGTCGGGATGCCAAGCTGGAGGTCGGAGTGCTGTGCTGGCAAGGGTTGGTCGGCAATAAGGTGAGGTTGAGGTGTAAAGTCGGCCGCTGGAGGTTGGAGGCCAGAGTGCTGAACTCGTGGTGGCAGGAGGACGTTGGGTGGAAGTGCGCGTGGAAAATCGGCCGCTAGAGGTCGAATGTCGTGCTGGAGGTCGACGCGCGTAGGCGGGAGAGGGCGGTCGAATGCTGAACGCTGGAGGTCGTAGGCCTGAACTGACAGAGGTCGGAGTGCTGGGTGCTGGATGCTGGGGGTCGGACTGCTGAGCTGGATGTCGGAGTTCGGAGTGCGGAGCTGGCGTGCGCGCGGACGCTGACGCTGGCGGCGGCGCGGGCTGGCGTAGGCGCGGCGTTGGGTGTTGAACTGGCGTAGGCGCGGGCGCTGGAGGAGTAAAGGGAGATCTGGGCCGTTGGGGGTAGCAGTCGGATGTCGGTGACCGGAGGTGGAAGTTGAAAGTCGGGCGCTGGATGCTGGCGGCCAGGTTGTGGTAAGAGCCACCGCAAATCGCACGCTACGTCCTCCTCCCCCGCCGCCCATGTGCCCCGTCGGACCGTCGGCGTACCAGCCCCGAGGGAAATCGGCAAAGTTTCCGAAGCCGCCCACCATCTCTGGTAGCCTCGTGCAGTAGCTGGTTCATGATCTTCTTCGCGAAAGCGGCCCGCTGCTCCAATGTCCCAAAGTCTCGTCGTCGTAAGTTGTTGACTGCCTGGTGCAAAACATAATTGTAGACTGCCTGCCGCTGTAGTTTGCCGCTGTAGTTGCTCATCTGTCATAGACATTGCAAGCACGCCACCAGCCGTAGTCGGTCTGGCGTCTGCTCTGCACAGTCGGCCCTGCGACCACGCTCGACCCACGGAGCAACGAACGTAGTGCTCAATCGAGTCGTCGGCCGTGCATGACCAGCCGAGCACATAGGTCCGGCGCCCACGCCGCAGCGGCCGCATTCTTCGGTCCGTTGCCCACCGATTGAAGATCGTAATCAGACGGGAGAGGACGGGATGATGGACAGAGGAGGGGGGCGGACCAGGGAACAGGCGGGCTGGAGCAGCGCTCCAGAGCGCCGGAACCGTCGCGGCGCCCGACACGTCCCACAGAACCGCCGGCTCTGAGAGGTCCCCGACTTGTCCCGGTACCTGCGATGTTGTCCCAGTCTTGGCCGCGCCCTCCTGGCGCGAGCCGGGTGCTGCAGTCAGGGGCAGCGTCAGGCGCGGGGCAGGCTTAATTAGGTTTTCGAGGTCTGAGGTTTGAGGTCTTCGGGCGTCCCCCCGGAGGAGGAGGGGGGGGGAGGGGGCGCATGGATGGAGGTGACGAGGGTGGGGAAAACAAGATGGGCGCTCCGACCAGGGTTTCGAGGCGCTCTGACCAGGGGCTCGAGGCGCATCGAGCGGTGGCGGCGAGGGCCTCCCGGGAGGCCCACAATAGGGGAGAACGAGGGCAGGGTAGCGGTATGGGTACCCAGACCCCCGAAATGGTGATTTGTTGTCGGGACCCCTTCCCCAGGACCGGTTTCTCATCGCACCGCATCGCCAGCGGCACTATAGAGCTGCCTGAACCATCACGGGGCGCCTTCTCACACCCCGTGGCAAGCATCTGGACGCCTGCTGTTGACAGCCGTGGCCAAAAAAGTCTGGTGTCATCATGGGTCGGGCGTGAGACCGTTAGGAGGGGGAAGGGGAGGAGGAAGAGGAGGATGAGGAGGAGGAGGAGGGGGAGGAGGAGGAGGAGGAGGAGGAGGAGGAGGAAATCCATGAGTGGACGCTCTGGCCGAGGGGCTCCGCAGCAGCACTCAAGATGCCGCGTGGGCCCGCGCCCTCGTCCCCCGAAACGGCTCGCGTCGCGGCCGGCCCCTGCGGGAGAAGGCCTCAGGGCACCCGCAACATCATTCAAAGAGTTGGCCCTTCAGTGGTGCACTCGAAACCCTTTCCCTCCTGCCGCCTCAAGAGCAAGCTCAACCAAGGGGAGAATCCTGGACAAGACGCCCGGGGGGTGAACGTTGCAGGCCACCACGTGTTTAGTCGCATCCTTCGTGGCCGCAAGAAAAAAGCCATGCCAGCACCTCGCGCTCAAGGCTCAAAGGGGTCAGAAACTCAACAATCATCGGCTGCAAAACCGCCAACTGCCTCTACAAGGGCATCATGCCAGCAAGAGCCAAGAGCTTATTGCGCTGCACGGCCTCTTGGGCAAATGCGCCTTGAAAATTCTGGTACCCTTGGGATCCCACCCAATGTAACAGAGACGCTGCAATAGTGATCTTTCTGTTATGGTCAGGGTGGGGTTGGCCCTTCTGTGGAGCCTCCTGCAACTTCTTTTTTCGGAAGGTCGACCCCCAGAGGTCTCGACCCATTCCCTACAACCGGCTTTTCTTCCTGACTCATATTTTGACGGTCCCGAGGCCCAGTGAGGGTCCCCAGAGGCCGAACAAAGCCAAAAACCTCCCGTCCTGACTTTTTCACGACGCGAGGGGGTCTGGGTATGCACCTCTTCCTCCTCAAAATCCTTGGCGTTCGTGAGGTACTCGATCGTCACGCCGAACCGGCCCGACGCGACCTGCTTGATGGCGGAGTTGGCCGAGTGCCCGTCCGCCATCTCCCGGAAGCGCAGCGGGTCCTCGCCGCCCTCGCCGGTGTTCGACTTGCCCCCCAGCTTGTTCATGGCCATGGCCAGCGTGGCGTGCGCCTCCATCGAGATGGAGCCGTACGACATGGCCCCCGTCCGGAACCGCTTCACGATGTTCGCCGCCGACTCCACCTCTGAAAGACGAAACGGCGCCATAAGCATAAACTCTGGCGCTCCGCGCGGCTTTCTTGGATCCGCGCCGGACCCCCTCCCCTGGCGCGCGGAGCGCACCAGGGGTGGCGACGGAGACGCCGCTGGGGGGGCCCAGCGCGGATCCAAGAAATCCGCGCGGAGCGCCAAACAATTATGTTTATGGCGTTTTTCTTCTTCTAACCTCGTCAATGCTCAGCGCCTTCCTGCTGTACTCCTCTGGGCTGCGGAACTCCAGCTGCCCGCAGAGGGACCCCTTTGTCTTGGTCTTGTTGTGTATCGCCGCAAACTGGGCGTACGCGGCACGGGAGTTCGTCCGGGCGGCCTCCTGAAGCTTCGCGATGGCCATGGGCTCGTTTAGATGCAGCTCCGAGTCGCCGAGCTGCCGGAGGTGATACTTGCCATCGTTATACAGTCCTGTGGTAATCATGTCGCAAGGGTTCGTCGTCACGGGGAAGCCCCTGGAGTGGAGACGCAGGGAGCGCTCGGCGATGTCACTGAAGACCAGGCCGCCGACCTGCGAGTCGGAGCCCGTGAAGCACATCCTGGTGACGTCCTCGTGCAGGCCGATCGGCTCGGCAATCTGCGCACCCTTGTAGCTCTGGATGCACGAGATGCCCATCTTCGCCATCACCTTCAGCATGCCGGCACCGACCGCCTTCTGGTAGTTCTTGTACAGCTCCGTCTCAGGAGTGCTGGAGGACAAGTTTCCGTCGCGAACGAGCTTCGAGATCGCCTCGTAGGCGTTGTATGGGCACACCGCGTCGGCGCCGAAGGTCGCGAGCAGGCAATGATGAGCGACCTCGCTGGGGTCTCAAAACCGTGCGGTGACGGACCGCTTGATGCGCTCGGAATTCACAACGGTCCGTCACCGCACGGTTTTGACACCCTGGACGACCCAGTCGCCTGAGACATCCTCGCAGAGCGACCCGAGTCCCAAAACCGTGCGGTGATCGCGAACCCCCACTGACTCACCTCGCGGTGTGGTCACCACACTGGGGAAAGCCAAAAGGCACGGATACCTTTACTCCCCAGACCTCTCCCGGGGTGTCTTCTGACTCGGATTTCGAAGCGAATCCAGCAGTGGCGACGAGGGCCTCCCAGGAGGCCCAAAGAGGCAAAAACAGGGCAAGGGTAACTGGCAGTACGGGTAACTCTGCCTCCTCTGGCACACTGTTCGAGGGCCCCAGACACCTCGTGGGGCTCCCCAGAGTCCACGACGAGCCCGGCGTGCAGCCGGAGCTTCTCGCGCACCAGAGCCTGGTGCACGGCGCCGGAGCACAGGAGCGCCGGCAGGGGGGCGCGGTCGCGGGCCACGGCCCTGTCGGTGAGGACCAGGATCTTGCAGCTCCCGAAGCGGATGGCGTCGCAGGCCTCGTGTTTGGTCGGGCATGCCCCCCCCTACACGGGGATCTTGGGCGAAAATAAAAAATGCCAAAACATGTTGAAACACAGTCAACCAAATAATTGAAACATCGTTCATTTTTTGGACTCGTGTTTGACAATGTTTGAACTGTAATTGGAATATATTTTCATTGTTTGATTATTTTTGGAACTATAAAGGCCATTTAGAAAAATCGTCAACCAAACAATGTGTTCGACTACTTTTGGATCTTCCTCCTGCAGAGGGACATGCCCGACTTGAGCCTCATGGCACACGCGGATCAAGTGGCGCTCCAGGCCGCGGGTCCCCTCGCACACCGGGAACGTCGCGTCGATGGAGTGGATCCTCGATGACGATGATGATGACGACGATGACGACGACAACGACGACGATGATGATGACGACGATGACGATGACGACGATGACGACGACGACGATGATGATCATGATGCTGATGCTGATGCTGATGCTGATGATGATGATAATGCTGATGATGATGATGATGATGATGATGATGATGATGATGATGATGATGATGATGATGATGAATGATGGAGTGGGTCCTCCAGCCCCGGAAGCCGCCCATGGCGTAGATGGTGTCCATCTCCGCGGGGAGCAGGCAAGGGCTCTCGAGCCACAGCCTGCGGCAGTGCTTCGCGGACAGGGGCGCCAGAAGGTTCGTCTCCGGCCCGACCCAGGCGCTCAGGGACATGACGCTCGACTCGCGGATGGGGTCGACCGGCGGGTTCGACACCTGGGCGAACCTCTGGTAGAAGAAGTCGTAGACGGGCCTTTTCATATATAGATATATAAATACATGTAATGTTTTTATGTGGTGCTTGTTTTTATGGTTTATTCCCAACGGTCCTGTGGTTCTGGGTCCTCGTTTTGAAGAAACAGCGCCCCGCGTTCTCCTCCTCCTCTCCTCTCCTCCTCCCCTTCCTCCTCCGATTCCTGCCTGTGCCCTCCAACGAGTCAATCATTTTGGCACACCCCTCACACGCTTCGTGGCTCCATGGGGAACCCCACCGAAGGCCCAAATGCCAGCGTTCGCATGCGGCCACCGCACCCAGCGTGGCACACCCTCTCACGCTTCGTGGCTCCATAGGGAACCCCACCGAAGGCCCAAATGCCAGCGTTCGCATGCGGCCACCGCACCCAGTTTGGCACACCCCTCACACGCTTCGTGGCTCCATAGGGAGCCCCACCGAAGGCCCAAATGCCAGCGTTCGCATGCGGCCACCGCACCCAGCGTGGCACACCCCCCACACGTTTCGTGGCCCCACAGAGGGCCCCACCGAAGGCTCGAATGCCAGCGATCGCATGCGGCCACCGCACCCATTTTGGCACACCCCTCACGCCATTCGTGGCTCCATAGGGAGCCCCACCGAAGGCCCAAATGCCAGCGATCGCATGCGGCCACCGCACCCAGCGTGGCACACCCTCTCACGCTTCGTGGCTCCATAGGGAGCCCCACCGAAGGCCCAAATGCCAGCGTTCGCATGCGGCCACCGCACCCAGTTTGGCACACCCCTCACACGCTTCGTGGCTCCATAGGGAGCCCCACCGAAGGCCCAAATGCCAGCGTTCGCATGCGGCCACCGCACCCAGTTTGGCACACCCCTCACACGTGTCGTGGCCCCACAGAGGGCCCCACCGAAGGCTCGAATGCCAGCGCGCGCATGCGGCCACCGCACCCAGTTTGGCACACCCCCTCACACGTTTCGTGGCCCTATAGGGAACCCCACCGAAGGCCCAAATGCCAGCGTTCGCATGCGGCCACCGCACTCAGTTTGGCACACCCCTTCACGCTTCGTGGCTCCACAGAGAGCCCCACCGAAGGCCCAAATGCCAGCGCGCGCATGCGGCCACCGCACCCATTTTGGCACACCCATCACGCGCTTCGTGATTCCATAGGGAGCCCCACCGAAGGCCCAAATACCAGCGTTCGCATGCGGCCACCGCACTCATTTTGGCATACCCCACACACGTTTCGTGGCCCCACAGAGGGCCCCACCGAAGGCTCGAATGCCAGCGCGCGCATGCGCCCACCGCGCCTATTTTGGCACACCCATCACACGTTTGGTAGCCCCAATGGGAGCTCCACCGAATGCGGTGCACACAACGAAGGTGTTCACAACTGCATATGGTTGGGTCCTTCGCCAAGCTATTTTTTTATCCCGAGCCATCCTGTGGTGTCGGGTCCTCGTTTTGAAGAGACAGCGCCCCGCATCTACTCTTTTCTTCCTTCCTCCTCCCTCTCCTCCTCCCTCCTTGCCTCTGCCCTCCGCATGTACAGGTTTCGGCACACCCCTCAGACGATTTGTGGCCCAATAGGAAGCTCCACCGAAGGCCCCAGTGGCTGTGTCCACACGCGTCCGCGCCACCAATTTCGGCACGCCCCTCACTCGCTTCGTGGCAACATAGGGAGCTCCATCGAAGGTTCCATTGGCGGTGTCCACATGCGTCCGCGCCACCCATGTCGGCGCACTTCTCACACGCTTCGTGGCCCCATAGGGAGCTCCACCGAAGGCCCCAGTGGCGGTGTCCACATGCGTCCGCGCCAGCCATTTCTTCACACCCCTCATACGTTTCGTCGCCCCATAGGGAGCTCCACTGAAGGCCCCAGTGGCGATGTGGACATGCGTCCGTGCCACCAATGTCGGCACATCCCTCAAATGTTTCGTGGACCCATAGGGAGCCCCACCAGAGGCCCTCACGGCGCTGCCCGCATGCGTCCCAGCCGCTCATTTCGGTACACCCCTGACACGTGTGCCGAAATGGGTGACGCGGACGCATGTGGACATCGCCACTGGGGCCCCGGTGGAGCTCCTATGGGGCCACGAAGCCCCTCAGACATTCCGTGGCCCCATAAGGGGGCTCCACCGAAGGCCCCAGTGGCGGTGTCCAAATGCCTCCGTGGCCCCACAGGGAGCTCCACCGAAGGCCCCAGTGGCGGTGTCTCAGAGGGCGCGCCGCTGGATCACCCAAAGGGGGGGAAGGTGGTCCGGGACCCCCCCCCCTTCCCCGATCCGTCGTCGGCGGACCCCCCCCCACTTTCCCGCTCCATCGTCGGCGAACCCCCCCCCCCTCCTTTCCCGATCCGTCGCCGGCGGACCCTCCCCCCCCCTTCCCCTTTGAGCGTGAAATTCGGACCCCCCCCCCCTTCCTCCCTTTGGCCACGCCGCGCCCTGGCTCCGGAACCCGATCCCTACCACACCTAACCCTCAACCTAATCCCTGCCCTAAGCCCTAACCCCTAACCCAACCCCCCACTCCTAACCCTAGCCCCTACCCTACGCATAACCTTGACCTCTACCCAAGAACCTACCCTAACCCCTAATTCAAACGCTGATCCCCACCATAACCCCTACCCTAAGCCCCAACACTAAACCTTAACCCCTACCCGAACCTTAACCCCTACCCGAACCCCTGATCCAAACCCTGACCCCTACCCTAACCCTAACCCTAACCCCTATCCCTAACCCGAACCCTACCCCTTACCCCTAACCCTGGCCCCTAACCCTGACCCTAATCCCTGACCCCAACCCTAAGACCTAACCCTAACCCCTAACCCTACTCTAACCCCTAACCCTGACCCTAATCCCGAACCCTCACCCTAAGCCCTAACCCAACCCCCCTAAACCCTAACCCTAACACCCAGCCCTGCCCTAACCCCTACCCTTCCCCCTAACCTTGACCCTAACTCCTACCCCAGACCCTAACCCTAACCTAACCCCTACCCCCTACCCCCACCCCTAACACTGACCCTAATCCTTAACCCCAAACCTATGCCCTAACCCTAACCCCTAAACTCTACCCTAACCCCTAACCGAAACCCTAATCCTTAATATTAACCCTAAACCCTAACCCTAACCACTCAACCCTACCCTAACCCCTACCCTAACCCTAACCTCTACCCGAACCCCCACCCTAAACCCTAACCCTAACCCCTACCCTAAACCCTAACCTGGACCTAATCCCTAATCCTAACCCTAACCCCTACCCTGACATAACCTCAACCCTAAACCCTCACCCCTAACCCCTAACCCTAAACCCTAATCTTAAGCCTAAACCCTAACACTAACACCTTAATCCCAACCCTAACTCCGACCCTAACCCTAACCCTTAACCCCTACCCTAACCCTGAGCCCTAACCATTATCCCGACCCTACACCCTAACCCTAACCCCTAAGCCGTAAACCTAACCCCTACCCTAAACCCTAACCCCTACCTCAACCCTAACCCCTAACCCCGAATACCCTCACCCTAACCCTAACCCCTACCCTAAACCCGAACCCTACCCCTTACGCCTAACCCTAGCCCCTACCCCTAACCCGAATCCCAGACCCTAACCCTAAGATCTGACCCTAACCCCCAAACCCTACCCTATCCCCTAACCCTGACCCTAATCCCGAACCCTCACCCTAAGCTCTGATCCAAACTCCGAAACCCCAATCCCCCCCTTGTCTGGCCAGGGGGGGGGGAGGAGGGGGGGAGTCCGAAATCGCCCCCCTCCCTTGGAGGGGGGGGGGCCGAAAATGTCCCCCCCACCCACCCCCCTTGAGGGGGGGGAGGGCGGGGGGTTCGGGGAGCACCCCCCCCTTTTCAACTACGAGGTGAACCACTGGCGCTCTTTCTCATACGCGTCCGCGCCACCCATGTCGGCACACCCCTCACACGCTTCGTGGCCCAATAGGGAGCTCCAACGAAAGCCCCAATGGAACCATCCGCACGCGTCTCCCCCACTCAGTACAGCGTTTCGTGGCCCCAGAACGGGAACTTCACCAATTGCCCCAATGGCACCGTCCACATGCGTCTCCCCCCACCCATTGCACACTTCGTGGCCCCATAGGGAGATCCACCGAAGGCCCCAGTGGCAAAGATCACATGCGTTCCTCCCCGCCAATGCAGCGTTTCGTGGCACGTAGGGAGCTTCACCGAAGGCCCCAGTGGCAAAGTTCGCATGCGCCCCACCCCCACCCAGTACAGCGCTTCGAGGCCCATATGGAGCTCCGCCGAACGCACCAGTGGCAAAGTTCGCGTGCGCTTACCCCACCGAGCAATTACAGCGTTTCGTGGCCCGTGGGGAGCTCCACCGAAGACGATGCCCACACCTGCAGAACTCACGGCTGCACATTGTTGGGCCCTTCGCCGGGCCAATGTGTTTGAAGCCGTGGACGGGCCTGGGCAGGTCGGACAGGCAGGCCAGCGGAGTGTCGTTGCCCATGCTCCCGAGGGCCTCCTGGCCCTTGTCCGCCATGGGCAGCAAGAGCAGCTCCAGCGACTCCGTCGTGTAACTTCGGCGAAGACCCAGACCCCCTCGCGCCAGGAAGAAATCACGAGGGGAGGTGTTTGATCATTTTCGGCCTCTGGGGGACCTCACTGGGCCTCGGGAGCGTCAACAAAACCACTCAGGATGCACAACTGGTCCCGGGGAAATGGCCCAGACCTCTGGGGGTCAACGCTGTGAAACAATCACGACGTCGGGGGTCTGGGGAACAAGCACAGTGAAGACAAACTTCCGAGGAACCATGCGGACCTTCGAAAGCTGACGGTCAGAAACTTTTGATCAGCGCGTCGCGCCGGCGGCCCCTGCGACACGCTCTGCCCTGCAAACTCGTAGGGTGTCGCTCCACTTCGCGGGACGAAATGCTGGGCAGGACTCGGAACGCTGACGCTCGGGAACTGGGACTTGCTTAGTTCGTGTGTCGCGCCGAAGAGTGGCGGACCAGGTCCGGCGGCGCGACGTGCCAAGCAGGCCAAGATGTGAGGCGGGGGTCTTTCCATAACCAACGCATGGGGGATCCACCATCAGGGACCTCTGTAAGCAAAAGATACGGACATATACATATGTGAATCCATTATATATATATATATATATATATATGTATATATGTATCTCTCTCTCTCTCTCTCAGCGACCCACCCGCGAACCCGCGACCCGGCCCGCGACCCACCTGCGATCCACCCCGCGAACCACCCGCGACCCACCCCGCGACCGACCCACATTGCTTTCACAAAAAATCGGCGTCTGCGGGGACATTGTTGTACCAGTTGTAAAAATCAGGCGCATGCGGCGGGCTTCTCCAGAGTCTCGCAGACTGACGACGTTCCCATCGCCCCCTCGCTCTTATCCGCAACTGGGGGGTGCGACGTGTATATGTATGTGTATATGTATATGTATATGTATATGTATATATATATATATATATATATATATATATATATATATATATATATATATATATATATATATATATATATATGTACACTACACCCCCCAGGGCCCGACTGCATCCATATCCGCCGCTGGCCGAGGACCCTCAAGATCGACCCCCCGAGGCGGTGGTCGAGGACACACCACTGCCTCGGAAACTCCGACCCCGAATGTCTTGCAGAGGCGACGGCAAAGGACACTTTAACAGGCCGATCGCTAATTTAAAGAATATCTTCAAGGTTCCAGCAAGTTTCGAACATGTGTTAAACATGTTCATACATGTTGAAACATGTGTTGCACGTAAGGTTTCACCCAGTTTCGGACATGTGTTAAACATGCTTCTATATAGGCTAGACATGTGTTGCACATTTCCCTGGACGTCTGAAACATTGGCAACACGCCTGGTCTCCATTAACCGTACGGCATAACGTATGCTCATGCTGTCGTCTCCTCTCGCCCCGGGCACCCAAAAGCGCGCAACCCCTGGTCGCTGGGGTCCCCCGGGCGGGGCCCGTCATCACCGCCGCCGCCGCCCAGGGCGTTGGCCATGCGGAGATCGTGCGCCTGCGAAAAGCTGAACTTCTTCGCCGGGCGAACGGCGTGCTTGCGCAGGTCGGCCAGGGTGATGCCCTCCTCCCGGATCCACTTCCCGAAGGGCCTGGAGGCTGCAATCTTCTCCTTGACCTCATCGTTGTACAGCACCTCAGGAAGGCGTCGCCGGCACATCCCTCCCGCCATCGTGCCTTCTGCGCACAGCGCCACGCCCAACGGGACTGCGATGTTCTAGAAGCCCTGGGCATGAACGTACCTGAAGTCCTGGAAGCTCCCTGGTGCTGGGCCCAGGACGACCGCAAGAAACCCACAGATGATCCCAAGAAGCGACCGAGGCAGTCCCAAGAGAGATCCGAGACGGCCCCGGAGGGCCCCAAGATGGCTCAAGATGTCCTCAAGACGCCCCAAAAAGTATCAAAAAAAAACCGAGGAGGGCTCCGAGAGGACCCCGAAAAGAGCCTCGAGAGGCAACCACCCGTGACGTTCATGAGACAGAACTTTGCACTCCTATCTCCCAAACAATGCTTGCACTTAGAGGTTCTTACCTCGGTTTCATGAATACTCATCGGTCGGAAGAAGCAGGTAGAAACATAAACTATGAAGGCGGATGGAGCAGATTGGGCTCGGGCCCGCCACGAGGAGCAGCAGCACGCAGCAACGGCAGACCGACCCCCGAAGCAGGAAGGCGCTCGCAGCAGAGACTGGGCCCGGGGAGTCCAGGCGGCTGCCTGCTTCCAGCGACCGAAGCTGAAGCGGGCGCTGTTCTGCGTGCCCGCTCCTCCTCCTCCTCCTCCTCCTCCTCCTCCTCCTCCTCCTCCTCATCCCTCCCCTCCCCCTCCTCCTCCTCCTCCTCCTCCTCCTCCTCCTCATCCTCCTCCTCATCCTCCTCCTCCTCCGCGGCCGATGAACGGGCTCGCCGAAGCTGCTCTACGTGCGCGCTCCGCCCCGCGGGCGCTCGTGACCCGTGGCGCCCCCTGCGCTCCGCCGCAGGGGGCGCCAACGCGCTGCCGCCCCCGCGGGCCTCCCCCGTGGGCGCCCCCGGGAGGAGGAGGAGGAGGAGGAGGAGGAGGAGGAGGAGGAGGGGGAGGAGGGGAGGAGGAGGAGGAGGGAGGAGGAGGAGGAGGAGGAGGAGGAGGAGGAGGGAGGAGGAGGAGGAGGAGGAGGAGGAGGAGGAGGAGGAGGAGGAGTGAGGAGGAGTGAGGAGGAGGAAGAGAAGGAGGAGGAGGAGGAGGAGGAGGAGGAGGAGCGGAGCGATCAGGAGCGATCAGATGAAAGGACAGCGTACGTCCCAAACGGCGCCATGGCAGAGGGAAGGCCGGGGTGCAACTGGAGTATAGAAACATCCTTTCCTCTCCAGCTCAGCCGTCCACGCCGAGCACGCCGACGGGGGTTACGGTCCCCCACCGTCAGACGTAGAGCGACCTCTTAGCGAAGCCGAAGTCGCTAGGGGAATAGCGGGCCCCCACCGCCTGAACCAGCCGGGTACAGCACCACGAACTGGCCGAAGAGCGCCGCGGCCGAGTCTTAGTCAGGGTGCTCGGTCTTGCACTCTTCGTCGCACAGGAAGGCCCTCGGGTCCAGGTCGCCCTCGTCGAACGCCTCCTGGATGGCCTTCGCATGGGCCTCCTTGGCGCACTCGAGCTGCGCCTCCAAGTTGATGATTTCCATGGCCCACTTCTGGATGTCGCGGGTGAACTCCTGCCCCGCCCTGCAGCCCAGCTGGTCGGAGAGCGCGCACGTGACCTCGTCGACCTTCTCCACCTGGGAGGGGGCCTCCACCACGGTGCCCTCGGACCCAGTGTCGAAGAGGTTCGGCTCCTTCTGGCCATCGCACTCGGCCTCCTGCTGCTTCCACGCCTGCTTGAGCTTGTCCTTCTTCTCCTCGAGCTTCTCCTTCTGGATGCAGCCGTCCTCGATCTTCGTCGCCCGCTCGCGGCACTCCTCGTCCGAGACTTGGCTGCTGGTGGCGGCTGCACGGAGGGCCGCACCAGCACGGTGCCTGCCTCTCTGTCGCCGCTTCGCCTCCTTGCCATCCTTCGGCAAGGCCTCCGCTCCTTCCCCAAAGAGCGCGTGCTCGGCCACGTTCCTGATGGCCTTGTCCTCGCCCGTGAGGCGCAACGGCTCCACGTCGTGCGCTGCGCGGACCTTCGCCGCGATGACGGGCTTGATCATCCCGATCCTGGCGTCCACCTCCTCCAGGACCTCCTTCTCGTCAGCCTCCTGGGCAGACGCAGCGCGACCCGCGCGCCACAGGGCGACCGCCGTGGCCGCCACCACCTGGCGGGAGCCGCCCGCACGAACCACCGCGCCGAGCAGCGCCTCCGCCATTGCATCGGACATGGGAGGAGCAGAACCGCGGCCAGCTCAGCCTGGGCAGGCGAACAGGCTTCTTGAGGCCGGAGGAGGAGATGTGGAGGAGGAGGAGGAGGAGGAGGAGGAGGAGGAGGAGGAGGAGGAGCGCGCGCGGCATGGGCCCGCCGCGGCGGCGCCGCCGCCGCCGCCCCGCGGCGGCACTGCGGCCGCCTCGCGCGCGCCCCGCTCGCACTGCGTGGGCGCTCCGCAGCGGCGCCGCGGCGCCGCCAAGCTGCCGCCGCGCGGGCGCTCGCGGGCGCCCCCCGCGCGCGGCGCTTCCGCCACGGACCCTCTCGCCATCGCTCGGACGTCCATTCCTTGTGTTTGTCCCTACCTAGGCTCTGCCTAGAAGGGTTCTTACTCTCTTAGCTTCAAGGGGGCCGGGCAGTGTAAAGCGCCCCGGGCGGTTCCCCCAGTCCCCGCCCCGTGGTTCCCCCCAGTCCCCTGGGAGCTTTAGCTTTAGCTTTAGCTTTAGCTTAGCTGTAGCTTAGCTTCAGCTTAGCTGTAGCTTAGCTTTAGCTTAGCGTTTCGCTTAGCTTTTCGCTTAGCGTTTAGCTTAGCTTTAGCTTAGCTTTAGCTTAGCTTGAGCTTAGCTGTAGCTTAGCTGTAGCTTAGCTTTAGTTTAGCTTTAGCTTATCTTTAGCTTAGCTGTTGCTGAGCTTTAGCTTAGCTTTAGCTTAGCTTTAGCTTAGCTTTAGCTTAGCTGTGGCTTAGCTTTAGCTTAGCTTTAGCTTAGCGTTACTGTTACTACTAATGCTGCTTTCCTAGGGGTTTCAACTCCTAGGTACGGTCGCACTGGGATAATTTTCGGTATCGTGCGTGGTTTTTCGCCAAATGGCCAAGGATGCTCCTCGATGGTCCTCGCCGAGGGAACAATGCACACATCCGAGCGATGCCAAGCCCTGCACGTCAAGTGGATTCTAGGGCACCGCAGAGCTTGCACGACACAGCTTGCACCGCACAGTCTACACCACATGGCGTGCACCTGGAGATCACACCACTCGCTCTCCACCAAACACAGCTTGCACCGCCGACATAGAGCACGGCGTATCGTTCACCTCTCACACATATCTCACACGACGCAGCGTGAATGATTCACCTGAAACCGCAAATATTCGACGTCCACAGTGAATGAAGTAACTCACTGTGCGAAGTCAGCGCTGGAAAACATTCCTTCCAAATCTGCACTTGCTTTATAAGTATAGATATCGATGTATCCGTCACCATGCCCCTGTGGCACGGAGTGGAGTCCCTCTGGGTCATTTGCTTACCCCCTGAATCCTGCATCCTGAGGGTGCGAGACGAGGCCTGGACTTGCAATTGCCAAACCTACCGGGACTCCCAGCGTGTTGTCGCATGACATTTCCATGGCCAAGAGGGGCCTGAGACGGGCCAAGAGGCACTATGATTTCGCTTAGATGGTCCAAGAGGGCCTCGAATCGCCGCACGATCAGCCCAAGACACTCAAGAAGCTTGCGAGGCACCCCGAGAGAGCCCCGACACACTTCCCAAGAAGGCACGAGAGACCGAAGGCAGTCCAGAGAGGCCTCCAAAACGGCATCCGGAGAGGCCAGACGGCACAAGGGCCCCCCGAGACGGCCCAAGAGCCCCCCAAGAGGGCCCCAAGAGGCCCTAAAAAAAAACCCAAGAGACCCCACGAGGCCCCGAAGAGGCTCCCAAGAGGTCTCCAGGAAGCTCCACAACGACTGGATTGTACGTACTCCAGACGTGCACCCCGCGAAGCGAGAGGAACCCGCGTCTGGAAGTGACGTGCTGAGCAGCAGCGTTGTTTAGCGAGCGCCTGAATGCAACGTACCCGACATATCCCATGATTGCATACTCGCTACGTATTGCGCTGTTTCACCTTCCTATGTAGCCCCCCCCACCCCACCCCCCGAGGCCACGCCGCATCCACCATACCAAAGATGGTGGCCCCCTTCTGGGCCTCAAAACCGTATTAGAAAAACGTTGGAAACCTATTGGCTCGGTCTCGTGGGCCTCTTGGGGGTCCAAGAGGGCCGCAAGAGGGCTCACGATGGCTTCAAGACGGCCCAAGATGGCCCCAGGAGGGCCCAGTAATCCCCCAAGGCAGCCCCTTAGTGCAAGTAGAGGACCCCCAAGAGCGCCTCCAAAGGCCAAACGAAGTGATTCTCCAAGTTCTTAACAGGTGTTCGCGCTCTCGCGTTTCTCCAGTGTCGGGGGCCCATGACGGCCCAAGCAGCCTCCAAGATGGTCCCAAATCGGCTATGAGGTGTAAGCTGATGTCGTGTGGCGCGGGGTTTCGGGAGGCGAGTTGCGCGTCGCGAAGCGCAACTCCCCACCCGAAACCCGAAACCCCGCGCCGGCGGCGGGGTGCGCTCGGGGCCGCGCGTCGCCTCGCCTCGTGACTTGACACGATTCGTTCCCCGACGACGCTGCCCCACGGGAAGCCCACCAGGCGGCAAAGTGGCGCGACCTCGCGAAGCCCACCCCCCGCGCACGGGGCGCCCAGGGAGGCCCCCACGGGGCGGCGCGGGCGGCAACGTGGCGCCTGCCCGCGAAACCCACCCAGCGCACGGGGCGCCAAAGAGGCGCCCAAAAGTCGGAGGCGTGCGAACATGGATAAGCGATCCATGGTGGATTCGGCGCGCGGTCGCCAAATCCATGTATCGGGGGAGGTGCCCTCTCCAAAGTGCGGTCGGTGCCGCCTCCCTCGTTCGGCGGCGGACATGTGTGATTTCCCGTGGGAGCGCGACCCGTCGCTAATCCACGCCCTCTTGATCCATGCTTGCGCTCGCCTGAGAAAGGCGGCACGGGCG